ATTCATATACATGAAGGCATATCAATTATTTTCAACCGGAAGATAATAAAGACAAATGTTTCACTTACATGGGGATTATTATTAGCTTCATTACTGCAAATACCGTCAACATTTCCTCATCGATTTACCTACATAATTTCAAAAGTACTGAATAGGAATCATAAAAAAGAACACTCCATAAAAGTCACTGCTACTGGTATGCTTTTATAGCACTTCCTTCCATAGAGTACTTCTATTAACCTTATTAAAAACGAAATTAAGTTATCGTTATAATCCTTTAATATCTCAAAAAACTTGCTGAGTATCTAATATAATTATCTATTGCTAGTTTAATAATTCTAAATCATTTACACATTATTTACAGTGTTCGTAGTGTTATGTATAAGTATTTAGAAAAGGAAAGTGAACTGGAGTTCTACAAAATATTTAATCAAGTTATAGGTAAACAATTGTAAAAAGCCCCTTTTAGATTTATTTACTGTAATTGATTTTTGTTTTTCCTAAGGTTACAACCTGTTTAAAGATTTTTGTGAAAACGATTCTGACGAACCTATACAACAATTTAAATTTTATGAACAGGTAAATGTTAAATAACTAGAACTACATTAAAAACGTGCAGTAATTATGGTTTATTATGATTTTTAGATAAAACAATTTGAAAAAACCGAATGTTATGAAGAAAGGAAGAAGATGGCTCGAGAAATCTATGATAATTTTATTATGGAAGAATTGCTAACTCACACATATGTAAGTATATCATCATCTTATTCACAATCCTGTGATTACATACATATCTTCATTAATTTCAGAAATTATTCTTAAATCTATTATAACATTTTATTGTGAAATCATTAGAAAAACCTATTTATATTATTTTAATTATTGCACAGGATTATTCAAAAGATGCAGTTGGCAGCGTACAGAAGTATTTGCTTAAAAATGAAGTACCCACAAATTTATTTGAGGTAATTGATTTATTAAGTTTTAACTAATGTTTGCAGTTAATAAAATTATAAATATTTTAGCCGTACATTGAGGAAATATTTAGTTATCTAAAGGGCAAGCCATTTAAAAAATTCTTGGAAAGGTATAATATTTAAACGTAGTAGATGAATAATATGTATATATTATAACGAATATTTTATTTTTACTTCTTTTTAGTGAAAAATTCACACGTTTTTGTCAATGGAAGAACTTAGAACTAAATATACAGTTAACCATGAATGACTTTAGTGTTCACAGAATTATTGGTCGAGGAGGTTTTGGCGAAGTGTATGGATGTCGTAAAGCTGATACTGGGAAAATGTATGCCATGAAATGTTTGGATAAAAAACGAATTAAAATGAAACAGGGAGAAATGTTAGCATTGAATGAACGTTCAATGTTGCAGGTTGTTAGTACTGGTGTAAGTATTAATAAAATGTATAAATAAAAGTTCTTCTTCACATACATACGTATCTTTTAATTTTAATTTAATTTCCCTCTCATTATAGAATGACTGCCCTTTTATTGTGTGCATGACATATGCTTTTCATACACCGGACAAATTGTGTTTTATATTGGATCTTATGAATGGTGGAGATTTACATTATCACTTGTCGCAGCATGGTGTCTTTAATGAGGACGAAATGAAATTTTACGCCGCAGAGGTAAATGTTGGTAGGGAATCATGGAAAGCTCAAGTATTAATCGATTATTGTTTAGGTCATATTGGGCTTGGAACACATGCACAAACGTTTCATTGTGTATAGAGATTTGAAGCCGGCAAACATTTTGCTAGATGAAAATGGTCATATACGTATTTCGGATTTGGGTTTAGCTTGTGATTTTTCGCGAAAGAAGCCTCATGCTTCAGTGGGTACACATGGTTATATGGCGCCCGAGGTTTTATCAAAAGGTACTGCATACGACTCTTGTGCTGACTGGTTCAGTTTTGGTTGCATGCTTTACAAATTGCTCAAAGGCCATTCCCCTTTTAGACAGCACAAAACCAAAGATAAGCATGAAATCGATAAAATGACTCTCACCATGGTAAGTGTTTAACTTAGCTCCTAATTAATACTTGCCTCTAACTTGTCATTTAATTACATAGAACGTAGAACTTCCCGATACGTTTAGTCCAGAACTGAAAAATTTATTAGAGTTACTGCTTCAGAGAGATGTTGATAAACGTCTGGGTTGTATGGGCAATGGGTATGTTTGCTTCTTTTAGTCACTTCTCCATACCACAATTCTATCCTATTTAAGTTATAATTTAATAATTCCACTACTCTGATTTCAGGGCTGAAGAAGTGAAATCCCACCCGTTCTTTTCCGGTATCGATTGGCACCAGGTGTATATGCATAAATATACACCGCCGTTAATACCACCTCGTGGAGAGGTAAATGCAGCTGACGCCTTTGATATTGGTTCATTTGATGAAGAAGATACCAAAGGCATCAAACTCACAGAATCTGATCAGGAACTGTATAAGAATTTCAATTTAACAATATCAGAAAGGTAAGGAACAGTTAGATAATGATTTGCATTCCAATATTAAATGTCTTATGTTCTCTCAGATGGCAGCAAGAAGTGATAGAAACTGTTTATGAAACTATTAACCAGGAAACGGATAAAATTGAACAGAAGAAAAAAGCCAAACAAAAAATGCACTTTGATGCCGACGAAAAGGAATCCGATTGTATTTTGCATGGCTACATAAAGAAATATGGTGGCTCTTTTGCATCTCTATGGCAAACAAAATATGCCAAATTGTATCCCAATCGGTAAGAATCCATATTCAACATAAGTATTCAATAATCTATAAATGTTAAAATTTGTTCTTTAAGATTGGAGTTACACTCAGAGAGTGGCAATAACAAGCCCGAATTGATATTTATGGATCAAATCGAAGATATTTCTTCAGACTTTGTCACATACAAGGGTGAACAATGTATTCAAATACGAGTCAATGATGGCTCGCGTGATGGTCGCATTTTATTAACAAATTCCGTAAGTTTATTGAGTTTTACTATTTGTAATAATTTACAATTAATAAAATCATCTTGTAGGATGAAATCGGTCTGAAAGAATGGGCCTATTCTTTACGTTCAGCGCACAAAGTGTCTCAAGAACTTTTAGGTTCGATGGCGAAAAAGGCTGGAAAAATTTATGGAAGCGAACGTGATGGCAACAAAGCGATGTACATAATAAGTGGTGGCAATTCAATGCAAAAAAATGCAAATGGCGCAAATTAGCATCAACTTTAGTATTAAAAACAACAACACAACAACCGAAAATTATACTTTTAAGTTCGTAACGAGAAAAATTATATAAATATATTAATTATCATAGTACTACACACAAATCAACAATGAAAAAATATGAACATTATAGCGGTATCATCATGCCGTTTCTCTCAAAATTTATATAAAGAATATTAGAAGAAAAAAATGAAAAACAAAATTAATGCCAATTAAATGTGTGGTTAAAATCAAGTATAGAAAACCAAAATAATCCCTTTAAAATCCTGTACACTAACAAAAAAAAAATCTTGTAAAACACGTAAAAACGCATTTGTGTCAGAAGTAATAAAAGTAAATATCTAGTAATCAAAAAAGAAAAAGGAATTCATTTATTATTCGGGATAATATAAAAAGATAACAAAAATTATTATTACATATGTATGTATTTACATAAAATCATCGGAATCGTTGCCATTGTCATAATTGGTGGTCATATTTTCAGCTTTTAGTAGCGATGTGTAGCTTCGGAGCTCCCGCTCTTGTTCTCTTTGTTTCTCAAGTTCCTTTTCAATCTCTCTTTGCGAACGTAATTGAGCCTTTTCAGCTTGTCTTTCTAAAGAATCACGCTTTTCACGCTCTTGCCTAAGATCTGGGTATTCCTCTGTTTTTGTTCTATTCAGTCGGTTTACTATATCGTTGCGTCGCTTTTCCACCCGTATCTTCTTAACAGCTTTCTCGTTGTGGTAGGCCACTTGACCAGCCTCCATGTCTGGAGTTTTCTTCAGATTCTCCCACATTGTATAAACGACGTCTATGTTATTTAACTTATTTCCCTGAATACTGTTGGCTTTTACCAATTGAACGGCGTCTTCTATAATTTCGGTGGGTATATCATCGATGGTCTGACCCTAGTATGGCAATAGAGTTTATTTGTTAATGTTATATTTATGGCATTTTTAAACTTTACCTTTTCCAAACGCAGATAAACATGAGCGGAAGAATAATTGTGTACATGGAACCAAACATCTTCCGGCCAACCCCATTTGATCAAGTCTTCATCTGTAAAATTTGCAAATGAATTGAGACTTAAATATTCTTCAAGTGAAATAAGTTTTTGGTTTACTTACTTTCATATTTATCTCGTCCCATATACAACACAGCTGGAGGATCAACTACATTACTTTTAAAGTAGAAAACCATTTTTACTTCAAAATTTTATTTTAATTCACCAGCACACAAATCGAAATTCACAATGTTTCTTCCGCAAACAGATGGCGCATTCATAAAAACAACAAAATTAGTTCTGTCAAAAAATCTTTAGTTGCCATATTGCTATTTTTTATATTTACCGTATCATAAAAAAGCGCACATTCCTAAAAATTCCTTCACCTAAAACAAAATTAAAATCTTTGCATATTGTTATATATTACCATCACTATAATAAATTAATAAAAAATGGTCATTCGTAGCCACATACAACAGTATTGTAATACAATAAAAATAAAGTTTTAAGTAATAACCCTTTAATACAGATTCAAAATACTTTTGTCAAAAATTGAAATAACATAGCAAATAGTCTAGATACAACTAAAACAAATTTAACGGTTATTTAAAATGGCCACCTTCTTTGAAATGACATCATGGTAACAAAAATTTTGTCGACCTACACACACCGTACATACACAGAGTTGCTTTTGTTTAAATGGTACTATACTCTCGCCACATTGTAAATAGTACTTAATTCCTGTGATAAATTATACCCGTTTCTACTACTAAAAATATCAACCGTATTAATTTGTTGAAAGTACGTGTGTAAAGAAAACGAATTTGTGAAAATTTTAACTACGCTGTTAAAAAAATTAATTTTCTTAATTCAAGGCTAATAAAATTAATAATTTTTAATATAACCTCTTTATAAAGTGTATTGAAAGTGTTTTATATCAAGTTATACTGAAAATTGTAAGAAATTAATCCATTTATCTTGATACAAATAAAAAAATTTTCCCTTCGTTTGTTCATTTCGTCGTCATATTCATCATCGCCTCTTATGTTGTCGACATTTGTGTATGTGCTTTTATTTTAGTAGCCATTAAATTGCATATTGTTAATAATTATACTACAAAGTTGACAACAACAAATATACGAAAGAAAAATAAAAAAATTAAAACCAATTTAGGTGCTGCTTCATTTGGATTTTGATTGTGCCTTAAATCTTATTTTTTTCATTTTAGTTTCGTTGTGTATGGTTTTCATAAATTTTTCATAGTTATTTTTAGTTAAACTTTTAATAATTATAATGATAACAACTAAAGAACTAATAATTTATTAAATCATTAAAATTGTATTGAATATTGCAAATCAAATTAGTTATTTATCATATTAAGAAATGTGTATTACATTTTCTGTGTATTGTATTTTTATTTACACTTTGATTTGCATTAAAAACTCTCGTAATTACATTTACTATATTATTATTATTATTTTCGTTCATTCATCGACATTTGTACATTTAAATGTATACAGTTACTAATTCATAAATTACATTTGGAACATATACATACATACATATGTATGTACGTTTTTAAATGTAAGTAATGTTATGCACACATGTGTATACATATATTGTGAAATTTAATACTACAGTCGGACCCGGATAAAACGATAAAAAACAGTGAAGCCCCTATTCGACATAGAGCTAATAGATTCGTCCATGAAGTCGCTTCCATTTTTTAAACACGATCAAAAGGAATTCGTTGCCATTTTGTAGACTCGTCTAAGTTGTCGTTTTAACGAGACTCTCAAATCTTATGTATACGAAATTTCTGTTAGCGGACTTTGCTAAACTCCATATATGAAATGGAATAATAATTACCATACCAGAATTCGCCAGTACCTTTGCATTGTACATATATTAATATCAGCCTTATGATCGGCCAAAGTCCATTTATTTGAAGAAATCATGTTTCTTCTACATAAGTTCGATTTTTTACAGATTTTGAAAATTTAAATTCTTGACCGCTTGCCTTTTTTATTTATTTCACAGAGTAAATAATTCGCCTTTACTATTTTTTCTTTCAGCTGTTAGTTATTGAAGATAAACAAATACCAAGTGAATAGATAACAAAACTCTTTCAAAATAGAGCAAAATCTAAAAAATAACTGTCTAAAGGGAAAAGGAATGCATACATTCAGTGAGACGGGCGCCGGTGTGCCGGCATTTTTGGCCAAGCTTTGGCGTTTAGTTGAAGATCCCGAAACTAATAATCTCATTTGTTGGAGTAAGGTATGTATAATAATCATTAATAATCATGAATTAAAATAAAGTTGAAATTGGTTGATAGTTTAATTACAAAGCATTTCTCTCAAAAACCTTAAGATAGTGTGTTTGGAAGACTCTCGTTATCCACAATAGAAAAATGTCTGTTGTATCTAAAGAAAGCATGGTTTCTATGGTTATAAATAAATACATTAATTAACCGCATTTAATCGTATTTGTTATTGATAACAACATTAAATTTGGAATATATTAAAAAATGGTTTAAAAACCACAAAAATATGAAACTACTTTATATATGTATGTATATCTCCAATATATTTGATCATTTTTTATTACTTAGGATGGACGCAGTTTTATTATCCAAAATCAGGCCCAATTTGCTCGAGAATTGTTGCCTCTCAACTATAAACACAATAATATGGCCTCCTTTATAAGGCAATTAAATATGTGTAAGCATTATATAAAATATTTAAATAAATTTCTAGTGGAATTTATTTTATTCTTCAAATATTACAGATGGATTTCATAAAATAACTTCCATTGATAATGGTGGTTTAAAATTTGATCGAGATGAAATGGAATTTACTCATCCCTGTTTCAAACGAAATTGTCCATATTTATTGGAACACATTAAGCGCAAGATTGCTTCAACCAAATCGGTTGATGAAAAGTCTGCCTTAAAGCCAGAAGCTGTAACAAAAGTTTTGCAAGATGTCAAGGCCATGCGCGGACGGCAAGATTCATTGGATTCTCGTTTCTCGGTGATGAAACAGGAAAATGAGGCTTTATGGCGTGAAATTGCTTCATTAAGGCAGAAACATGCCAAACAGCAGCAGATTGTAAATAAACTTATACAATTCTTAATAACGATTGTGCAGCCACAACGTAATATGACCAGTGTAAAACGGCACATGCAGTTAATGATAAACGACATACCGGATAAGTCGAAACTACGCAAGACTAGTGAGTCGGAATCGGATGGTGGACCGGTTATTCATGAGTTGGGCGAAGAATTGCTCGATGAAGTAGCTGATGTTGAACCTGAATTAATGGTGCCGAATAGCCCATTTGCTCGAGTTGCTACTCCGGCAACTCCCTCTACAGATCCCGACGTAGCCCACTCGCCACATAATATTGAACGGCCCCATTCAAGTGGTAGTATGATCTCTCAAAACTATGATTTTTCCAATCAGAGTGCAGAAGATACTGGCTATTTAAGTCCAGCCGCTACAGCTGCAGCTGCTGCTGCGAATGACGGTCTTGTACATACAATCAATAATGATGGCTCGAAAATATTTTATCACATAACTGAAGTGCCTGATGCGCAACCTCAAGAAACAAACATCAGTCCCGTTAGCTACAATGAGGATAACGTGCTGACAACACCGATGGTGCGTGAGGAGATGGCACGAAACCAATTGTTAAAACAGAAAAATCGCCAGAGACGCATTAAAAATGAATACGAAATGGAAAATCGCGCTAAAGCGTCTGGCACTTCCGGTTCTAAAGTTCAGCGTCTTGCCAGCCAGTCGCAAGCATCACCAAAACATCAGCAACAACAACAACAACAATTAGCACAGCAGATTCCTCAACCTATACAAATTAAATCTGAACAAGATGCTGCTTTAGATCCCATGCTTTTCCTGAATATCTACCCAGAAAATCGTGGCCTGACTCCGGACCCAAATTTAATTTCACCCAATTTCAGCGAAGATTCGCGTCAGTCGAATTCAAACACCACGGGTAGTTTTTTGATTAATACCCCAACGTCATCTGCAAACACAGCTTCATCAGCAGAAAACGCCCTATTGGCAGGCAATAGTTCTGACTTGTACAACCCAAATAGTTTCATTACTAACGATATACCCGCTGATATATTTGAAGTAAGTACATTTTTTATTCCCTTCTACTGGCTGGTTATAAAATCTTTTTCTTAGGATAATTCCCTAATATCTGCTGGGGAAAATAGTAACATTGGTGGCAATGACAATTTCAAACAGGCTCTACAACAACAGTTTGGTCGTTCTACTGTCAATAGTGGCAAATTTTCAACATATTTGTCTGGTTCAACATCTGGAAATTGTAGCTCACAACCGTCTACATCAGCTGCCGCAGCTGCTGCAGCCATTTCATCCACAAATAATAGCAACAACAACAATAACAACGAGAACAGTTCTGAAAAATCTGCAGGCACATCGAAGAATGAGAATGGCAGTAACATGGCTATAGCTAAATACAAGAATAATCAAGATGTCATGCGGTTGAGTACTGCGTTAGTAACTGGGAGAAATCTTAGTTGCACTTAAGAATTATAAAAATACTAAACGTGTTTCTTCTGTTTCTTTTTTTATTTTCTCTTCTACTTCACAGTAATGAAGTCAGCGGTCATTTAGACATTGTGCAGGACGAACTGGAAGGTTTGAAGGATTTACTGCGAAGTGATGTTTACTCTTTGGATCACAATACTTTGCTTGGTGTAAGTTTACCAATTTTAAATGCACATGATGATGAAGAAACAAATTATGAGGATGCTAACAATTTAACTGCTGGCAGTAAACAAATTTCCAATTCAAATCAAAACGATAATGATGATGACATTGAACAAACTCGTTACAAAATTTTGCAATTCTTAAACGAATCACTATTCAATGATCTAGAGTAGGTTTAAACAGAAAACCAAATCAAATCAAATGAAGACTTGCACGTGTTTTTTTTTAGAAATTTCTTGTTAATAATTTTATACGTTCTCTTTAATTTTACTTATTTTTTTTTAAATGAATTTCAATTTTTAACATACACAAGTGTATGTGCGTATTAAAAATGTACATTTTATGTACCAAAAAAAAAAAAAAGAAGAAAAAACACTGTAGTAAGTTTAACAAACGAATAAATTTCCTTTCTTAATTTGTTAATTTCACATGCTCTTTGTTCAACTTGTTTCCATACTTTTTTATTTTATGAAATCGTTCATCTTTTCATTTTATATAACTGAATTAAAATAAATGGATTCCACATAATTATTCTAACACGACTGCTTCCCTCTCAACCCAATAAAACAAAATTACAAACTAAATGATACACGTATCAAATAATTACAACAACAAACTATGTTACATGTTAATTAATTAAATCTTAAAAAACCATGTAAACCAAAATAAATTTTCAATAAAAAATAAAAAAAAAAAACATTAAATAAAAAAGATGCCTTTAAACGGACTCAACTCTATACAGAATTCAAATCTCAATACATTTGAGAACAATAATCATCGTATATTTTTGCCGCCAGCTATGGAAGAGGACATTCTAAATAAGGTCAGCCTTAACAAAAAACCAATGAATTAAAATAAATTGAAAAAAATAATCAGTATTCGGTTAATCGTAAAATAATCAAAGTGATGCTTCAACTACAAAACAATTACTTTTTCACAACTAACGGTAGTTTTCCAAATTTTAATTAAATGTCACTTAATCTTCTTCTTCTTACCTTCGAAGATAATTCATTGTTTTCTTGTTTACAATCTAATAAAGTATTTCTGATAATAACTTCTATACATATTTATTTAAAACTTACTACTGTTATTTATACATATTGATAAAACATTTTTAGCAACAAAAAAAGTTTTTTTCATTTCAGTATGTATGTTAATTTAAAGAACTTTTATTAAAAATCATATCTGTTGTAATCTTTTGTTATATAGCTTTTTAATGATTCGGATATTTTGGGTCCATATGGTTTACATTTACCCAATGATGGCAATGATAAAAAGGGTAAATATATATTTTACAATTAAACTTAATCCTTATACTTAAAAATATAAAAAATATATATTTTTTTATTTTAGGATCAGAATTGATGACATACCAACCCATGTATGATTTATCTGATATAATAAATGATCAAAATGATTTAGAGGGTAAGTGGATTTAATTCTTTTTTTTTTTATGTGTTTATTCTTAACATTTTTGTTTTAAATAACATTTTAATATTATATCATGCATACATATTGGGGTTATAAATTTAATAGAGGAATTATGTTAAGCTTGTCCTAATTTTCCAAAAAAAAAATCTATATAAAGTATAAAACCAATGAACAACCATTTACGGTGGAGGTGTATTTTCATAATAATTATTAAATTAAAAACAAGATTTCTACTTTATATTGGCTTTCGGTAATATTTTCCTCATGATCTCATGGCGCATCATAAGTTTTGTTTAGTTTTTATGTTGGAAAAGTATTAATCAACAACAAAAATATTATATTCATTCTTTTTGTTATAGCTAAAAGATCCTTAAACCAAAAATTGTAATTTTTTTCCTCAGCTGATGTCAATATGTCGCCGTCTTCTGCATTACAAACACAACAACAACCTAAACAGGAATATGGTTCGGTACTGAATACACCCTATCATGAATAAAAACCCTTGTAATAAACAGTTAGTTATCAATGCCAGTCACTATAAAAATAACAATATTATAATCAGTGTATAACAAAGCATACAAATTACTAATAAGACGACGGAAAATATTCTGGATTCACACAATAGAAGAAAAAATCTAATGTTAAATTTTTTTATTAATACATTTTAATTAACATTATTCAGACGATGTTTAATACTTAGGTTTAGATAACTAAATAGGCTAAACACATATTTACAGTTATTTGTTCGTTAAAAATATTTACGAATTTAACTGTAACTTTTTATACATAATTTAATAATATAAATAGATTATAAGTTGGTGGAAATTATATGTTGAGATGTACGTTACATGTTTTTGTTGTTTATATGTTTATAATTTAGGATTTATTTTTTAATTTTTATGGATAATACATTTTTCGAAATATGTATGTATACTAAAGACGGATTTTACAATTCACTTTAAGGTAAAAGACTTGACTTTAAATTGTTGTCATCTAAAGTGAATTGTGGAAACCCGTCTTGAAGTATAGGTATATTAATATGTTTTTTTTTTTTTTTTTTGAAAGAATGTATTTTTATTTAACACTTTGAAGAAAAACAACCAGTGAAGTAATAAGACTGTTTTAAATATGAAACAAAACATTATTAAGAATGTAGAAGGTAGTAATATTATTATAATATGTATCCATGCAGGTACATACCAATAGGTATTACATTTATTCGGTATATTATACATATAACTAAAATAATACTTTCTGAAATATAATTGCAAAATATGATTGGAAACTAATAACAACCAATTGGCTTCACATTATAAGAAATGTTATTATAAATGAATCTAATGTTTTGAAATGAAAATATATGTATATTTTTTTAAACACAATTAATTGAAATGTTAGAATTGATGACCAATATTTCAAATGAACAATTATCAATGCAACATTAATTTATTATTGAATTTTATTAATTTTATGTTATAATTGATAGAGGCGTCATAATTTCAGCCAGCTGCCTGTATTAATGACGAAAAAAAAAATATTTAAAAAAAACTTGTTTAACAAATTGAAATAATTTATACAATTGTTTTAAGCAAGAAATTGAGAATTTATCTTCAAAAGTAAAAATTTTGGCCGCCTTATGTTGTAACAATTGAATAATATTTTTTGCTATATTAAATATGTATGTATGTATTCATATGTATTTTACAAAAATAATAAAACAACAGAAATTTTCGTTTAGTTATGGAATTTATGAACCGTTATAAATTTCAATACTTGTGTATATTTTGTATTTTATTTTTTGTTAACTGTAGTTTTTCTCTTATTTTACGTAAACAACGCTATTATTTTTATTTAACTAAAAATACATTTATTTGAATATTTGCAAATGATAGAATCAGACGCTTTTTTATTTAACTCTCATGTTTAAATAAATACTTTAAAAAAGTAAGAACAGAATTTGAATTAATTAAAAAACAAAAGTAAAACTTACAATAAACTATTAAATATAACAAAAAAAATAATAATAAGGGAAAGAAGAACTTATCTTAACATTATTATATAATTAAGTATTTTTTAATAAAACCCGAACAAAATAAATAAAAAAAGTATGACGTCGTACATCACTTTATATCAAAAGCAAACAAACAATTTATTTCATAATGTCAAGTGATTCTTCATAAAGTAAGTATTAATATGAGACCCATTTCACTAACGTTTCCGCTATCCCGGTATAAAAATGAGACATCTATCCCCCCTAGCCCCCATTTTGTGCTTTTTGAAATCCAGTTAACAATATAATTGAAAAAAATCCCTAAAATGTGTACATAATATTAGAATCCAAACAACACTAACATAACTCGAAAAGTTTTTTCTTCCGAATCAAATTAACGACTTTCAAAATAAGTCCAACGTGTGTTTCATACTTACATATGTGTTTACATATATTTACATCCAGTAATATGTAAATATTATTAACATATTACCAACTAATTTCTTTTTGAAAAAATAGTTTGTTAAATCGAGTGTAATAAATGATTTTATGCAGAATACTTATATTCAAAAAATACACGAGAACTTAAACATTATGGTTCTTATACTTTTATTTAAATAAATTATATAATATTGTATTTAATAAATTACTTTTTAATTGCTACATACATATGTATCTATCGTCTTCAAAAAGGCAAGGAAATACTAACCACATTTTTTTCTTTTTGATGGTCTCTTGCATAGATTTTAGGTGATAATATGTACATAAAAATTACTATGTATGTACACTGTTTTCTTTATAGTAAAACTTATAATTGAGTTCCGTCATTAGTTGTCTAAATGCAACCTATTAAATGTTAATATTATCTCAAGAAAGTTGAGTTACAAAGTACATAAGTATAAAAGAAATTTCACTAAAGACTATCGGCTTTATTACGAGTCGTTTTATTAAAAAAGTACAACAACAGCAGTTGTAATAAGGGGCAATAGTTAAGTCGCGTTTTACATTTGATCTTTATAGTGGGCATCTTTAAGGATTTTAGCAAATTCGAATTTGACCCTCTCTCTCTCCGAACGTGGCATAGCTCGAAAACAATCAACCAAGGAAAGACAATATAATTCAATTGGATCAGTATTAAGTGTCGCTAGTGCAGAAGTATTTTTACGTTTTACGCTATTTGTTAACATCTGATCTTGAGTCGGTGATATTGTTAAGGGACGTTTTAAAGGTGACGGAGCTCGTAGTATAGGCTGGATTGTAACCTCAGAATATAATTGGGTATTACCATTACTAATACTATTCATTTCATTGCCATTTTTGGTTATTGTTGTTAGAATTGGTGTTAGCAGTGGTGATGACCGATTCGAACATTGTGAATTTGTCGGCGAAACTGAACGTTTTGAATTGTCTCCTGAGCTGTGATCTATTGTTACAGCAGGCTCTTGTTTAGTTTGAACATTTGCCTCTTCGGGTTTATCAGGTAGACCATACGGATCTTGTGGACAGGTTTGTGTTATATCATTCATTGGAGCTAAAAATGCCGAAACATCCGGCAAAAAATCGTCACATTCATCATCACTGCGGTCGAGTTCGATAACTTCATAAGTATTACTACTATTAGCAGGGGCTAAATTGTCGGGATACATATAACTGTTGCTGTCATCACTGAAAAAAATAGAATATTGTTTTTGTTCTCATATTAGATTCACATTTTCTTTTCTAATTCCACTTACGATCCGTTGCAATTGGATTTTATGGGGCCAGTGCCATCTCTTCGATAAGCTGTATACTTTAGAAAGGATAAATCTTCTGTGAATCTTCTCTTTCTTATGTTTGTGTTAACGGTGCCCGTTTCCAGACACTTTTGTTCCTGTAGATAATTGTAACGTATATTCTTCCATTTTGTTTGCAAAAAACGAGCTGGAATACAAGTATATTTGATGTAACAAAATTATAAAAATGAAACAAACATAAAGTAGTAAGCAGCAACCCAAACATTTCAACCACCCTTAAACATTTGTAGTCATCGTGTCAATACAAAGAAACTATACCATTTTTGTACGTTTCTTTTACTTACATGGTGCTCCTAATTCTTTGGCTATATTATCCCATATTGCCATACGCACTGGGGTTCGCCGGTAATGTGGATGACTGACATCGTAAATGGCCGAATTTTCTTTCACTAATTTTATCAAACGATCATCTAGAATTTAAAATAAACAAATTATTTTAATATTTATTAGTATAGATAGTACCACCCCTTTGCATTTATAAAATTTCCTCCCTTATTGTAATATTAACTGTTTACGGGCAAACTTACCAAATTCTGGCCCATATCCTTCACGATCCATAGTAGTTTAAACTTTTTAATAGTTTTAATGTAATACACTTTCACTTAATTTTTTTCTTAATTGTTAAAATATTAAAAAATCCACAAAAAACAGAATACACTATAATGTTGTACCATGTACGAAAAGTATTGATTGATCCTGGTAAAGAATTAATGTTTCTTCTTCGAATGTATCTTTTTTACATTACTTCTTCTTACTCTTTTTGACAGTATTCTACAATTGTAACATGTTTTGTTTTTGTTTGTTTTTTCCAATCTTCGTGTGTTGTTATTATTGTTGTTGTCATATATACGCGCATGTCCTGCTCTATTTTGTTTATCTTTTAGATTGTTTTCAGTGTTGAGAAGGAATTAATGAACAATTCTATGGCCACTTTTGTAAATTCATGGATGGTGGTGTATTTTTAACAGCTGATTGATTTTTACACAGCCTGTCAAACATCATATAGCTCATTTACTACAAGACTGTCATAATTCAAAAAACGCCGTTCCGAGTAAAATGGCTCTTAAATAAATTATCGGAGTTAAAACAGAAAACCAAATATATAAAGTATAGACCTTTATGATTCTAATCTGAACTTAAACTATATTTTTTATGTACCAAATATATGAAAAAACTAGAGTTTTACTCTTGACGTTTTCTGGAAGAATCACTGTAACACAAAGTTTATCAAAGAATTTAATACTCTGTTGAAAAACACTAAATTTTAAGTTATGCCAGTCTTGTAGTAAATTAGCTACATTATTTTAAACTATTACAATCAATCTTGGTTATAACGAACTCCATTAGATCAGTAAAATTAATTAATAAATTTAATTGTTTACCAAAAATTCGAATTTTCAGTAAAAATGTATTATTTAGCAACAATTTTTTTTAATTAAAATTTTAAGTAAAATACAAAGTTAAAATTTTTACTTAAACAGGGTGTTTTAGGAGATTGAATGCTACTATTGTCTGTGGAATCACAGACAAGTCAAGTAAAATTCTTTTTAAGAAACAAATTACATCATATGTAATTGTAAATCTGAAGAATTCCATTTTATCCTCAATATGTCAAATATGTCAAACATTGGATATTTATTGAGCATAAAAATCGATTCCATAAACATATATAAAAAGTGAACTTAATGGATCTTGTTAATAATCATGAAAATTTGTTTTTTTAACCTTGAATGAGGAGAAAAATATTCAGTAAAAGATTTTTTGTTTATTTTCCATTATTAAATTATTTTTATTTTTTCACATTTTTATTTTTATATATAATATATAGTAATTAAAATTAATATTTATGCTTTTAATTAATATTTAAATGATAATATTCAAGTTTTAATTATACTTGCTTAAGTTTTTGAGAAATGAAATACATTTTTTGTTTTTGAAGAAAATGAAAATTTTTTAAAGTAAAAAAAGAACGTTTCATTGAAAACACGGAATATTATAAAAAAATATAAATTAATTAAAAAAAGAAAATGAAAAATATTTATAATACGAAATTAAGATACAGATATTAATGTATATGTCAAATTAAATATTAAATTATAAGAGAAAATAAACTAATTACTTCACAGATTTGAGAAGAAGCAAAACTTAAAATTGAATGCAATGGATTTGAGTTTTTTTTTATTTTTTTATAAGAATCCTAACATAGTTGTTTTTATCGAATGTTTATAAAATGTTTTGTTTTTTCATATTGATTTTTTCTTAAAGAGCAACGTTTTGCAGTTTCATGTTTTAATAAAATTTTCAGATTTTCTTTTACATTGTTATTGGAGGGTGGTTGCACATAAATTTAAGTATACATATTACTTTGTTTTTAATTTCGAATTAATTGAAATTTTGCTGGTGTTTTTTTGTATTGATGTTTTGATTAACGATCTTATACAGTCAGGAAAATAATTCACAAATAAAAGGAAGGGGAAGATCAAGTTGGAGATATATTTAAAGAGGGATCAATGATAAATTTAATATGTTTTATTGTATAGTGAAGAAATCTTGCGGGTGTACGTGTGTGCTGCTGCATTTTAAATGTATTGTTGCTTATTTTTTTGTTTTCTTTTGTGGAAGGTAGATCTTTGTAAGGACCTCAAAATTTAAGCATTTACCACCATCAACCTTCCCTTTTTATAGAACTGGGTGTTTCTGCTAAGCCTTTCACTTTGAGGCGATCAGCTGTCTTTAGGAATGCAGGTAACTGTTCTTGTGACACATTCACTTCGCCAGCATACATAAATTCTAAAATAGCTTGCAGATGTATGTAGGAAACATCTTTGAGTATGATAATAGGATGTTTGGATGGATTTTCCTGCAAGAAAATATAAGATAATTACGAAAAATTATTGCGGGCTTAGATTTGTGTAAATTCGTAATATTGAATACCACAAACTATAAGTAATGATTTTTGTTTAATTAGTAGAAAAATATTACCTCGAGCAATGCCTTAAAGTACGGACTACATGCTGATAAAACCATTTTATGTGCTTTACATGTTTGTCCTTCACATGCAAGAGTTACCTAAAAAATATTAATAGTTTATTAAATATGTATTGTATTGTTATTATTAAAAACTTTATTTACTCGATCAGTAAAGGATTTAAATTAGAATATTATTTATTCTAACTTGTTTACATACTTACATCTGTAAAACTTTTTTCATCCCTTAAGTGCCGAAACGATGTCACCATATTCGTTTGAAAATCGTTCCATTTTAAAAAGAACTGTTGATCGGACGACATCATTAAAAAGCCGTTTATTTGTCTTTAAATATTATATTCCAAAAATATATATGTGAATTGTAAGTGAAAGTAGTTCTTTCTTCTTAATTAACTTCAGTAAAATAAACACAAGATCCTAAGATTTTATTGAAGTTTATATTGTTTAAGATCTTGTTTGTTATAATTGGTTGGCACCAGTTAGGAGAATTAACCAAAGATTTATTTTTGTTGTAGTAATTTTCTGGAAATATATATTTAATATATGTCCCTACAGAAACATCCGGTAGTCAGTAAAAAATCAATAATCTTTGGTTATGCTTTGGTTACAAACAATCCACATTAGCTTCTGCAATTAAAATGAAATGGGTAATTTAATTGTATTAGTTGAATAATGTTGGATCAAAGTAATATTTAGTAAAACTTAACATTTTTTTAATATGTATTTTGGATAGTTGTTTATGCTTTTATTTTTTCAATCAAGAAATACATACGGCCCTATCTCCTATCTAAGTTCTGTACATAGAAACTATATTAAAAATATAACTAAATATGTTTCGATTCATGTTGTTACCATACTTAAAACTAGTTGTTAATAAGAATTTTTATGTTTATTTCCTTTTTCAGATATTATTTGAAATAATATCTTTATTACAATATTATTATTGTTGTTTGCATGAGAGCTTCTATCAAATTTCTCGTATAGCGTGAGATACATTTAAATGTTTTCATTAAAAAGTGCAGAAATTGCCTTGAAAAGTGAAAGGCATATTTATTTTTTGTTTTGTTTGATTTTTTCTTCTTTATTAGGGGAGTACGCAGAGTAAGAAGCTACTGTATACTTGGCGCAAAATAATAAACCTTATACAATTCCGAAATATTTTCTTGTTGGAAAAACATAAGCTTTTTCTCATGTTTAAGCCATTTCTAATTCAAAGCTTTGTTCTTAAAATTTCAATGAAATAACCCATCGAAATCTAAAGTAATAGAAAAATATGTTTTATTTACTTGTATATCTTATATGTATGTATGTATTAGGGCATTTAGTAGTTTAACTTTCATTCGATTAACCGATTAATTTTGTAGTTTTTTAAAAGAATCCCTCAAAGTTTCTTTAAAGATAACGATAAAATTGTTAATTCTATAGAGAAATTTTCACCAAAATTGTACTGTTTCATTAAATATTTATCTAATTTGAAACAAAACAAAATTTTAACAAAAACTTGTATCATTTGATTACTCAAAATCTCGAATATGTTCAAATAACCGTTTACATTAACACCTTAATAACTGAATACCCTAATATGTATGCAGTCGGTAAAAGTTATTTTCAAAACAAAGGTGATACTGATGACGATGAACAATAAAATGTTTAAAGGTATATTTTTTTTTTGTTTGTTTAATTTTTTCAGTTAGTACATTTATATTTGTATTGGCTTTATTTTTTAAATTGCACTTTGTTTCTTTCTTTTGCAATTGATGTGCAGGAGGCTCACTTGCAGCAGAAAAAATCAATATTTTTGTTCCAATAGTTTGTTTCTTTTAAAATGAATTGAATTAAAAAAAGCAAAAACTTCTTCAAAGTTAAGGAATACTTTTACTATTTCTTTACCGGACCACTGTAAGAATATATATTTTATTAACTTTTACTTCGATAGTTATTGCAGCAAACATTAATAAATTTAAAGACAAGAAAATACACCCACATATCTATCTACCAGCAATTTGATGCATTCGAATTTCGATTTTCGAATTATATAAAACAACAAAAACAGGATTTAAGAAAGAAAATAAGAAAAACAATTACAGTTCTCTTCACTGATATTTGTATATTCTGTTGTGTATTTCGCAACAGTGACTGCAAAATACCAAATGGCATTACTTCACATTTAAACATATACACACTATACATACATACATTCATATGTACACATTGTATGTAATTGCAATTGAAAATAAAATTGTAAGAAATTAAAAAGGAAAACGTGGAAGGTAAAAAAGAAAGAGTAATTATAAAGAAACTAAGTGGCTCTTTTAATGCATTGTTGTTGTTTAAAAATCATTTCCATTCCAAATATACATACGTACGTACATACATAGCTAGCTGATTTTAATATTTTATATATTTTTTATATACTGCTAACACAAATCTACCAACCAACTTACATTTCTAGAAAAACAACTTCTTTTTGTTGATTCAAAAGTAGAAATTATGTTTTTTAGGTCGCCTTGGTCTGTCTCATTTGTATTGTGTTTTGTAGGTATTTGTTAAAATTGGGCTACCATATCTTTGTTTACACAAAATTTCATTTATTTAAACCTTCAAAAAATAGTTAAGTAAATTCTAAAATTTGCTTCCAATAAAGCTCTCTAATTTTAAATTATAACTGTTATTAAAATCTTTCTTCATTTTAGAAATTTTTTCAATATTTTAAAAAGTAAAAAAAAGAAAATTGTTTGCCTTTAAAGTCTGGTAACTTAAAGATGTTTGTCTTTAAAGATGATCTCTTGTTCTCTTTCTCTCTTATTTGGGGCTCCCTTTTTCTAATGAAAATACTTTTTTGCGTACGTACTCCAAATTACAAAAAAGGCACACACACATATGTACACATAATACACACACTCACTTGTTTTTTTTTTTACTCAGTTTTTTTGTTAATAACAACAAAGTACACCAACAAAAAATAAAACATCGTCACACAAAAACGGTTCATTTCTTTCGCAATATCTATAAGAGTGTGTACTTTAGCTATATACAATACCTTTTTTGCTATTCATTCTAGACAATTAAATAACTCTTACCTTTTTCAATATTGTATACTTCTTTATTTTAATTATTTATAAGAAATATACTACATAAATTTTTTTGTCTCTTGCATTCATTTACCTCAATGCACACTAACACAACAATAATTTTCTTTTACTCAGAAAAATTTCACTGTACTTTTTTCACCGTTTGTAGTCTGCTCTAATATTCTACACTTCTTTCACTCGAAATTTCTTTTGTTTCCTTCAAAAGAAAACCTATTTCGGTTTAGCACTTGTAAAACGGAGTTACTTTTGATGTTTATTTTTATGTAATTATTTTCAATGCACTTTTTGTCTAGTTTTATTTTTTTATATTTTCAGAATTTTTCTTTATAAATTATTCCGATAATCCGTCCCGGCTCTTTCAGCTTGAAGAAGAAAAACAAAATGAAAGTCGTGTACAGTGGTGGTCAGGGTTGGCAAAATTGGTACTATCGTACTTTTTTGATACTATTTGATGTTGAAAAGTACCTTGGTACTTCCGAGTTTTATTTGATACTCCTGTATCATATTCAAATTTAAAATTCCAAGAATATTTTGGCACATACATATTTATAAATATTTCTCAAAAATTTATGAGAAAATTTCCAAAATTTTCAAAAATTTTTGACTTTAAAACATATGATTTTCAAATGATAAAAACTCGAATGATTTAATTTATGTATATCTAGTATTTTATATGTTAATATTTATTGAAATTAAGAATTTAACCACAGTTTTTGGTAAAAAATATTTGAATTTTAAGCAAATTATTGCTTCATATACAGAATCGGATGTACTAGAATATATATATGACATGGAGCGCAATGTATGGAATTTGATAGAACAATTGATTTTTTAACATATGTATGAACGCCGAATTTTAATTTAATATGTGGCCTGATTTTCATTAGGACCTGAAATATTGATATAAAACAAAATGTATCATGACTTTTAAATTTATTATATTTACAAAGTAAAATATCGGTGTAATATTTGTATGGTAGCTATGAGAAACCATGAACCCATTTCCTTGGTTTGCAAAAATATAAAAATCTTTGATATTGGATGAGAAACTAGTTTAAAAAAAAATACATTTCGAAGGTACCGTACTTTGAGCCCCCCTTGCGCCGTCCCTGTATAATTTGTGGTGTAAATTGGCTACACCTACATATGTCCAATTTTTTCATGAAAAGGTGCGCACAACAGGCCTGATAGTGGCCTAGGTGTATTTCTTCGGCTTTGATATACATCATCCTATCAACATAACCTATGTCTAATTTTATCCTGATCAAACTAGTCATTTAGAAATATGTTTATCTTAGTTTTTAGCCAAAAAATATTTTAGTACTCTGAGGTCCAAAAAAGTACCCTCTGAAATATTTTTTGATACTGAAAACATTTAATTTTCCATCCCTGGTGGTGGTAATCAGAGTCCTGCGCCGACAAATATTAATGGCGACTAACACTAAATATGTCGGTGGCGGCTTAAAATCGACTGTAAGCCGGCTAAGTTTTCAATTACGTTTAATTTTTAAATTTTCAACGATTTTAAATAAAAACGGATTCCGAGAGATCAGAAAGTGGAATTTTGGAAGCAAAAAAATTGTTTATAACAACAAAACAGAGCTTGAAGGAGAAAAACGAAATGAAAGTCGTGTACAGTGGTGGTAATTTGACCATTAAATCTAGCGATTTTAAAATCAGTTAAGTAGGGAAAAGACTTTTACCGATAACAGGAATTTTAGCGATTTTTATTTAAGAAAAACAAACCAATTCCTTTAACTCGAAATAATAATACATACAGAAGTATGTTTATTTAGATATTTCATATATTTATGTTTATTTAATTGGTTTACAGCTTTAAAAAAGCAGTGTAGTTTTGGGGCTTATAGATTAAAGTGAAAATGTCTTTTTTTTATTTTTTTGTCACAATTGCGGCGAATTTATTTCTCATAGTTGTTAATTTATGTAGTATTTTTGAAATCTACTCTGTGTTTATTTTTTTAGTCAGATGTTCGTAACTTCTAGTAATAAAAGTATTTAATATTATTAATAAAATTTACTATGATAAAGTTGAATTCAACTTTATTTAGAATTAAGAATATACAATATGCTGCACAGCTCTCACGTTTCCTGTCCACAGATTTTAAAGAAAATACCAAGTTAAGTCTGCGTCAAAAATCATGGATGGATTCTCAACAAAGATATGAAAACCACCAGCACATTTTTTATAGTTCTCATTTGGAGCTACAAGATGAATACATGAGTTACGGTCTAAAAAGATCTATACAAAATAAAATCAAAAAAGATTTAAAACGGTACCGTAAAGAACAAAAAACATTAAATTGTTATAGTTCAGATGTACCTGAAGATTGGATGGAAGATTATGAGTACTACAATGAAACAAATGGAGAAAATGGATTATTAAAAGAAAATAAGTATGGAACTGCTGATCCAAATATACCTGCTTCAAATGTGCCCTGTAATGGATGTGGTGCCATTTTACATTGTAAACACCAGACAAGTCCAGGTTAGTACATTGTATCTACTAAAAATTATTATAATTAATACAAACTTTTTGTAGGATTTTTACCAACCGAAATCTTTAAGGGACGAACGGAAAATGAACTTAAAAGTTTAACTTGTCAACGATGTCATTTTCTAAAAAACTATAATGTAGCTTTAGATATCGAAGTCACAACGGAATCTTATATCGAAACCATATCAAGTATTAAAGATAAATACGCTTTGGCTATTGTTATGGTTGACCTGCTAGATTTTCCTTGTTCAATATGGCCTGGAGTACATGAATTATTAGGATCAAAAAGACCTGTTATTATTGTTGGCAATAAAGTTGATCTCTTGCCACGGGATAGTAACAGCTATTTGGATCATGTAAAACAATGTTTGACGGAGGAAATCCTCAAATCTGGCTTCGATCGATTGAATGTGAAACATGTGAGTTTGATTTCGGCTAAAACTGGTTATGGAATTGAAGAACTTATTACACAATTGCACAAAATATGGGCATATAAAGGAGATGTTTATTTGTTGGGTTGTACAAATGTGGGCAAAAGTTCATTATTTAATATTCTTTTAAATTCGGATTACTGTCGACCGGAAACATCAGATTTAATACGAAAAGCTACTACCTGTCCATGGCCTGGAACAACTCTTAAAATGCTCAAGTTTCCCATATTTAGACCATCGGAAATACGAATCTATGAACGCTTTAAAAGACTGAAATCAGAAAAGTTTATAAAAGCCGAAGAAGAAAAACTCCGCATAGAAAGTGCTCGTAAAACTGGAAATATAACTGATGCAGTACCAGTGGGCACAATTAGACGTACTTTCATAAAAAATATTGATGATGTAGATGATGCCTTTGCTATGAGTAAGGGAACGCAACCGATAACAACATTCAATGAAAGAAGTAAAGAATATCAAAAGTCACGATGGGTCTATGATACACCAGGTGTTTTACACCCTGAACAAATAACCAACTTGTTAACACCACAAGAGTTGGGAGAATTACAACCCAAGCAAATGATTTCTCCTCGATCTTATCGTTTAAAACTTGGTATGAGTTTATTTGTAGGTGGCTTAGGACGACTGGACTTTATTAAGAGCGATTCAAAAGATTTGGATTGGGTACAAATATTTCTATTTGCTTCATTTGATCTTCCAACAATGATTGTTGAAACCGAACATGCCTTGGACGTTTATAAGAAATACTTAAATACTCCACTAATGAAAGTTCCAATGGGTGATGAGGAGCGCCTACGAAGATGGCCTGGCTTGCAGTGTTCCACTGAAGATTTAATTGTAAAAGGATACGTTTTAAAGAGCAAAACTAAAGAACTTAATTGTTCAGGAGACATTATTCTCTCGTCATCTGGTTGGGTTGGTATACGCGCACCGGTAGATGTTCATTGCGTTTTTCGTGCTTGGACACCACATGCAAGAGGTATATTCTTAAGAGCACCGTCACTTGTTCCCTATGCCGAACGAATAATTGGCAAAAGAATACGAAATTCTTTAGCTTATAATACAACGAAGCCGTTTGTTTTTAAAAAATGATACTGTTTTAATTTTAAGCACAATAAAAAAAATTCTATTTACCTACCTATTTAGTACATAACTTTGTCCACAGTTTACTAGAATAGTTGATACAAAAATCAATCGATTTCACAAATTGACAATAGTGTGTTAAATTTGTATTTACAATATGATTTTGAATGAAAATTTCATTTGATTAAAAAACCTTAAAAATTTGAATTTTATTTTAACGGTGCTTAAAAAACATTAATGTTTAATATGCTTTATATTAACCAGTTAATGTTATGTGACCAGCTGATTATTTTATTATATTGTTTCTTGAAAATGTCAAACTCTATATGTAAAAAATATTGACACTGTCAAACTGCATTTGTACATAAAAATAAACAATAATATTGTCCGAAGTGATATCACCTAAGAAATATTACTCGTTATCGTCATAAATAATCAGAGTTGATTACAAATAGTATTATATCCTAACAATCACAGTTGTATTATATAGTACACCTATGTATAAACTGTTTTTCCACGAATGAAAAAAATTGACAGTTCAATAAAATATAATAAAAAAAAACAAAGGCAAAAAATCCTGTAATTTTTCTCATATAATTTTCTAAAAAAAATTAAAAGGAGGCAGAGTTACAACATATTTACTTGAACAAGTTGTGAGCGAAATAAATGAAATGTAAAAACAATATTTTGGTTAAAAATATTTGCGTGAAAAAATTCCAATAGAAATCAAATCAGGGGTTGAACACACTCGCTGTATCAGCCGACGAAGTAGAGACAACATAGTACATACATAGTACAAGAGAACGAAAAAAATTTGTTCAATTTTACAAAGGATCATACATGTAAATTATTAAAAACAAGTCGGCGTAGAAAATTTGTAAAGAACAGTTACATATATTAATAAGAAAAATATCGGTCGCGGGTAAGATGGAACAAAATGCAAATGATCCATTTGCATCTGAAAATAGTGGCACTGCTAGGTTTGTAGGCGGCGGAGTGGTAAGCGGGGACCACTCCCTTGATAATGGTGCTATAGCTGGGGGCTCTGTTATTGTAAGCAGCAATACAGCTGGCACTGTAAATGCTGGTCATGAATTTCAGACAATGAAACCGGGAGCAGGCGCCAACTTTAAGCAAGTCGGACGCACCGAAATACCTCACAGTGAATTGGTAAAAATGTTGTACTATCTTGAAGGTGAACTGCAGGCTCGAGATGTTGTAATAGCGGCCTTACGTAACGAACGTGTCAAACAATATATATCTCAACTTAAAAGCAAAAGGCTCCAGCCTAGTGACCCACATGTAGCAATTTTTCGAGATAAGGTCGCCTTGTCTGGCAACTTAATATCTAGGGAATCTTCTACACAAGCTGCACAAGCTGAAATGGAAGTCAGACAAATTATCGAGCAACAAATGGAACAGCTGTATCAAATGGTCAACAAACAGCGAGCTACACACTTAAGAATGGTCAATATTTTGACAGAGTCATTGGAAAATAATCAACGTATGTTGCAGGAATTGGAAGATGAGAAACGAAAACACGAACACGACACTGCACAAGGAGACGACATAACTTACGGCTTGGAAATGGAACGAACTAAGCTGAGGCAAGAATTGGAAGAAGAAAGAGCTCAGGTGAAAAAACTCGAAAAAGATTTAAAAAAGTTACAAGAAACTTTGGATTTTGAGAGAAATCGACAAAAGCAAATTGTACTTTTATTGATAGCAGAAAGGAAAAAGATTATGATGAAATACATAGAAGAAGGTAAGCTTTCTAAGAGCCAGTGAATTAAAAACATATTTATATTAGATTATATTTTATAGGAAAACGTTCGGAAGATTTGGCTCAAATCTTAGCTGAAGAAAAGCAACGTTCTGACAATATAGCAGAGGGTTTAGAAGAAGAAAGCAAAAAATCATTGCGTATGGAGGAAGAATTGGAAAAGCAAGCAGCATCTTCTGAACAAGAACGTAAACTTATTAAAGCAAATCTTGCTAAAGAAGAACTTCGGTAAAGGAATACAAATAGACATTTGTAGAATTTTAAGTATTAATTCATACACTTCTTTTTTGTTTGTTATATCTTTAGAGTCAAAGAACTGGAACAGGAGCTACTGACATTAAGGGCTGAAAATGAGGCTTTAAAAAAACAAAATGCCACTATGAGCAGTAATACTGTCTCCAAATCTAGAGCGTTTACTGGTAAGTCAATGTTGTTTCAATCTTTAAGCAAGATATGAACAGAAATCAAATTTTTCTTTAGTATATTTCTATGATTTTATTTATAATTTTTTAATTTTCTTCAATACAGAGATATTTTGTTAGAAAAAAAATTGCAAGACTTTTTGAAAACAAAATTTAAATCAATAATCCTTAATTAAAATCTCCTTCTTATGCTTCTTCACCTTCTATTTTCCTCAAAACGAAAAAATAAATATATTCTACTACATAAAACAACAATTAAAAAGATATCTGAAAAATGTATAGAAAACAAGGTGATTTTTGTTTCTTAAATTTTATTATTTCACTTTTTTGTTCTGAATCTGTTTTGTCTTTCTTTTTTATTGATTAAAAAAGCACATTTCAGTATAATATGTACATATGGATGTACTACATATTTGTATTTGTGTAGATGTAAACGGTCAAAATCTGTAATTTGTGATTAAATTGTATCTTTTTTATAAATTGTAAAATTAAAATGTTACAGATTTCGATCGTTGACTTCAAAAAACACGATGCCGCACATATTTGTTTATCATTTTTGACCAACAGTTATGGACACTAAATAAAATCGATTAAATAATTACAATCAATTGAAAAATATATATTAAAGTTAAATTATTTTATACGGTTTAAGGACTAAATTTATAGAACAGTAAAAATTGGCGAACGGAGATGATTGAATTCTAATGATGATTGTTTTAAAATATGTATGTCATTTTATATGACTCAATTTTAGTGTTCGTAACTGTCTACATTTCAATCGAACATCGTATTATCTAACTAGTTATAAATATTTGTTCAGAGTATTTTTCAAGTGATGAAACCATTTAATATTTTGTATGATTCACTTAGATTTATTAAAACATTATACTTTCCTCGTTTTTTATTTTGAAAATACACACATTTCTGTGTTCATATAGTTTAAACAATATATTTAACAATGTTTCAGAAGATGGATGTGCCACACCAATGGCGAATATAGCCAAAATTGTACAACCTACGGCGACAGTATCTAGTGTCCCTGTGTCTGGGCCCACAACTGGTATAGCTCTATCCCTTACCCCAGCAATAAACTTACGTACGGGTATAGCTACGGCTCCTTCAAATCTAACACCTTTACCTCAAATAGCTGCAGCTGCAACAATAGCTGTGCAATCGTCTGCAGTTGGTAATGATGCCACTTCATGCACACCAACACCAGGAACTGTTTTGGCTCCTATTACTTCGGCATCTGTTGCACAAAAAGCACAAACGGCAGCTCCTTCATCGCCATCCCCAGCTAAAATGCAACCCACGGCAACAATACAACGTGCCCCCGGTGGTAAATATTCAGCATTAGCAGCTGCTGCAGCGGCAGGCCACTCACTTGACCAAGCTCCATCGCCTCATCCTGTACCCATAGCGGTACCGCCTGTAACTGTTCCACCAGCTGGCGCTAGAGGTGCTCCTCCACCCATACCTCCTAACAAACCAATAGTCCCACCAAAGCGTGAACCCTCATTATCACGCCTTGGATCTATATCTGGTGCTGCAAGTGTAGCGGCTGTCGCCTCATCAGCTTCTACCGCTGCCAATGCAAAAAATTAATTCAATTCTATTAAATTTACTTTAAGTAATAATCAGTAAAACATTAAAAAAGAAACATAAATCTACATTATACGATAAACAATAATACTCTAAAATTACTTTATACAAATCATGATATAAACAATTGATATTTAGATCTTAAAAAACTACATACAATATATTCCAAGAAACAACAACAAAAATTAAGTAATCTCAAAACTATTAAAGAAAAAATTTATATTTTGTTTTAACCATAATTTTCAATGGCGAAATTAATAGAAAGAAACTCGATTATAAAGTATTATCATCACATGAAAACTATCTTTGCCCATCCTTTGCAAAAATTAAAAAAAAAAAAAAAAAACACACACACACATTCTACTTAAAAACAAAATTAATACATACTACTACACATATAAAAGCAGCTAATTTAAGATTAAGCCTTTTTTGTATGATTCGTTTAAACTTAAGCTGCCTAAATGAATGATGCTAGTTTCGTTTAAAATTTACTTAAATACGAGTACATGCAAACATCTTCCTACTTAAGTCTATCTATACACACATTACAAATAGAAAACCATAAATAAATAAACAAACCAATAATTAATTAATAAAGAATGGCTAGTAAATATAATTTTTTATTCGTAGCCCATGTTTAGTGAACCCTATTTGCGCATATTTATAGTTTACCTCATAAAAATCTCAATGAACTATTTGTTTGATATTGTGTTTTTGTATATGGCATGCATAACTTATTAATTATTAATTTGCGTTTTCAAACATCTATTTTTACTACAATTTATATACATATGTACATAGAATATGACCGATTGAGTATTCATATTCTACTTCTGATAAAATGATTTATAATTTTTGTTAGAAATTTTATTAACAGTATTTGAATTTTATAAAAAAAAATAATAATTTAATTTCATTAACCGTACTTTAATAAATAAAAGTGGCTAAACAAATTGACATCGCTCACTTGCGACAAATTTCAACTAAATTTTCTTTTATTCTTAAGATTTTTTAAAGTAACGGTATTACTCCAAAATTTGTTCCAAATTTTACTGAAAATTAGTATGCGAAATAAGTTGGAAGGAAAAGGTGTGACAAATGAGCGCAAATGATTTCCTAAATGTATAAAAAATAAAAATTATCTTTAAACGTTAAAAAGAAGTTTAAAAATTAGATGAAACCTTGTTGAGATAACAAAATTAGTAATTTAAATCCCAATAATGTATTAAAATAATTTTTTGCTGGTTTTGAGAGTAGTAGTTTCGAACAAAACCACCCAGACAAATATAATGTAATATGAACAATTTATTAGAAAAAAATGAAGATAACATTACAAAAAATAAAAACTATAATTAATAAAACTTATTATTAAAAATAAATATATATATATATTCATCCCATCATAGTGTTTTCTATAATGATCGCCCGTGAAAGATTGCGGGCACAAGCCAAACGTAATAAATTTATGATTTCTTCAATATTTTCAATACGATAGTCCTTGAGTATGTTAACAGGTTCCTGTAGCAGAGCAATTTAAAGAAAACAATTAATAAATAATAATAATTAAATAAAGCCACATCTAGTGAATAGTAAAAAATTACATCAGGATATTTCTCCAAACGTTTCTTTTTCTTCTCAATCAGTGGCACCAATTCCGATTCCAAATGGTGTAAAATGGCGCTGGTTTCTTTTGAAAGTATTTTCGGATCTTTTGACTCCAACAGCGGAATGGTATCAATTAGTAATGAGGGCCAGAAACTGAAAAAATAATATTGGAATTCTTTAAGCCCCATTTGTGCAAATTAAAGTTCTTTCAACTTACTATTCTGGAGTTATTTTTGATTCCAACAAATTTACCAACAATTCGGCAGCTGGCAAAAAGTCTCTTTTACGATAAAACTGATAGAAATCGAAGTATTTTACTAAAAACACCAATCTCGGCGAAATAAACATTTTGGCTCCAATATTAGCAATAACATCCGGACATAACATGTCTCCCGTACGAGAATAATGCTGTTAAAGTCAATGGTGATGGGTAATAATAAAATACAAAATAAACAAAAACAAACCTTTAAAAGGAAATCAGCTATTGAGGTGACATATAATGTATCTTTTGATCGAATGGCCCACTCCAAAGCATTTCCATAACGATGACCATCTAATGACTTTTTGGCTTGAACTTTGCAAATTTCCTGTTCAGCATTTACAAAGTTTTTCTTGGTGCAGATTTCCAAAACCTTCATAGCTTGTTTTTCAGTTTTAATTGGTATTTTAGTTATACATAATTCCAAAGCAGCTAATCCTACCAGACGTGTATGTAAGTTAACATCATTTTAAACAATTTACCTATTTTGCTACTTACCTTCTTCCGAACAAAATTCCAAATAATCCATACCCAATTGCCATAAAGAATTTCTAGACATTAAACAACTGCCGAAGTCAAAAAGCAATGAATCTCTTAACTTAATGCAGTCACTAAAATTAAAAAAAAAACAACAAATAAACACAATTTTAGTTTTAACTTTTATATGCACCCACTTCATTTGATGATCTCCGACCACTTGCAATTGACCACAATTATATAGCAAATCAGTGAGATGTGTAACGAACCATTGGTTGTCAGCCATCAGCTGTATTGAGTGAATAACTTGATGCATTTCGTTTTCCATTAGTGACAATATGACTTTATCCAAATGCTTAAGTTTTGGCTCTTGTCCCTGTTGAGATTTGAATCGTGCCCATCTGTCTAACCAGGTGTTGGCAGCGGTACCCAACTCAAAATGCTTGCAAGCTGGATTCGTGTAAAAGAGATATCCGGGCAAATATTCATACCAATATTCTGAATTTTGTATTTGAGTATTCCATACGGCCGTGTTGCCAGTCACCAGTTGTACAAGTTCCTCCAATAAGGGTTCGATGCTTAGAATGTTGGCGCTCAGTTTACGTTCTGTGTCTGTAAGCCAGTACTGCCATTGAGACCTAAATTTTTGTATTGAAAATCCGCCATACACCTTTAAATAAGTAAATATAAATCCAAAACATTACATTTAACTTTATAGGAAGTCGTTGGATTAAACTTACATTGTATGTGGGCATCGCTTTAAAAATTTGTTCCGCCATTTTAAATGCTGTACTCTCAGCCTGAGGGTGAAGTTGAAGAATGGCACGAGCCACATCAACTTGACCTTGCATTATTAGACCTTTCAGCGCAGGCCAGTATTCCTCACTGTCACTGGCATCACGACTGAGTATCAATAAATCGGTCGCCATTCGTTCGGCCGCTGGAAAGTGGAAACGAACCCATTCAAGTAATTGCGGCACTATGACATTTGAAGCCGTCTGATCCAGAAATAGAATTTCACTTAAATGCCAAATACATTCTATGGAGTAAAATATAGAAATAAAATGTTGATACTTTTCATATTTCTCGGGCATTTCAAGTTCTGCATTTCCAGCGGCATCCTGCAATTTTTCCAAACATGCTCTAATTATACTACGATATGTTCTAGATATTTTAGTATAGTCTGCCTTTGAACCTTTCTTTTTCAGTGACTGTAGGGCTACGAATGTTGAGTTGGCCTCCGCTATAAGGCTTCTTAAAATTGGATCATCGAAGATAAATTCTGGTTGCAGGAGATGTATTTGTACTACATCTTTTCCTGCATATTCAGTCGGTTTATCCCGCGTACTGGCTGTTATGGGTCTAAAAGCGTTCAATGATATTTTGCTACCATCAACAAACTGTCCCGTCAATGTGTTGCCATAGCGTGTACTTAATGGATCCACAATGCCCTTAAAATGATTTAAGTTTAAATATCGCCGAACATTTTTACTTACATTTACTTACAAAAACAGCAATTTTTGAGTCATCCATAACTTATTGTGTGCTATTTTTAAAAGAAAACTTCAGCAAGAATTAAAAAATAAAATAATACAAATTTTTCCGCAAAAATGTTGGTAGAAGATAAACCGGTGTGACAAAAACAGGGTTGTAACTTTTTAGTATTGCCAACAGGTTAAACAGTGATGTCAAATATTACAAATAAAATTACAGAGCAGTACTACCAAGTGCCCTGCAATCAGCTTCGGAAGGATGGTGTATAATTGTTTCAATAATCAAATAAATATTAATTTTAAGGTGAATTTTATTAAAAGAAAATAAGGAGTTAGTAAAAATAAATAAAAAACGTTTATTTCAAGATATATTACAGTATACATATTCTTCACGTATATATGCATATACTTTCTTATATATAATTATAGTATAATAGAATAGACTTAAGCTATTTTGATTTAAATTTCGTTATAGTCCAGAAAACCCATCTCAACAAATTTATGGGGTATGGGGTATTCATTAGTGTCTATAAAAGAAATAAATAAATCTTCATAGTGCGATGTAACTTTAACATCCATGGATTTGTTAAGGATCATTTCACATAAAATTTCTATGGCATTTTTGCGTTCATCGACTGAAAGAGATTGCTTTTCACGAACACCTTCAATTCGGCAAAGAATAGCTTGATATGGCATTTGAGCTATACTCATATCTATCGAAGCCAAATTTCGTAAATGTACCACCTGATAGTTTCCATAATCTACGTAAAGGACTTTAAACATTTTATAATCGTCGTCGTGTGACATGATTTTAGCTCGATACCATAGATCGTCTATGTAACGCGATAAAACGAGTTCAAACATATGAGGAGGTTTTTTTAAATGTTTCCAAGAGGGTATGTCTTCGTCATTCCATACGAGTGGAGTTGCAGTTTGGAGAGGATCATTGATTATTGCATAAAATCTGTCCAATCGACCGATATAGGTGGGTGTTATATTGATTATACTTCCAGGAGGAAAAATGGTTGTGGGATGTCGGCAATCTATTATTGATGCTGCGGGTATAACATCCTTTGTCCAGCCGTCGGGTTGACGTAAAGTATGTTCTAATTTACAGTTTACACCTTTAAAACATCCTCCGATTTCAGGGTCATAAAAACGACATATACGCTTATCGTCTTGAGGATCATAACCCATTACTGCTTTCATGGCATTACTAGTGTTTAGCGGTTCTTCATACAGCATTTCTAATTCGTCATCTGTTAATTGTTTGCATTTCACATTGTCTGGGCCTGTATTTAAGGGAGCATAACTTACACTTACAGGATCTATGCAACTATTATCAATAGTTTTATCGGGGTCAGTGTTGGCGAGCTCCACTTGCAAAATATTGTCTTCTATTGACACTATTTTAAAATGGCAGCAATTTGCATATTCTAATGACCTTAATTTTTCTTCCATTTCTTGTTGAGCTACAAATGGGTTTTTATTGGTTGTTATTAGTTGACATGGTATGGCTTGTGCTGGAATACTTTTCTGTTCAAACGTTAATCTATACATAATACTATTTGATTTTACAGGTAATATTTCTCCAGTATCTAGGATATAGCCAGGAAAAATCTCTTCGTCCATTTCAACGTCGTAAAGATTTTTAGAACTTAGTACAGCACGGAAAATATGCTTATCTAATACATATCCAAAAACTTCATTGGCTGGGGGCATATCGTGGTATTGGCGCAATTCTAAGGATTTAGCAAGTTCTACGATAGTATCCCGGTATTTAGAGGACCTGTCAAATATGTAAAAAGTCAAATCGTTTAAACTTTTAATGGATGTCACTCTTCCACTTATTATTGCATTTTCTTTATAAACTTCAGACAAATTGAATCGGGGATATACGAAATCTTCATCAGGTGGTTCTGAATTTATGTCGAATACTTCAGCTGGGTACAAATGAGTTCCGGCTTCCTTTAACTTGCTCTTATTAATACTGCCACTTTGTGTTTCACCTTTTTGGTTTATTTTTGTAAATAAGGCCTGCATTTCCGTTAGTTTTATATTATGCAAATACATTTGAAGATTATACTTTCTGGTGACTTCCATTATAGCTGTTATGTTGGTAACAAAAGAATCATATTCCGTTAAAAAGTAGTTGCTTTTTTGCCAATTGGTCTTCATATTCTCCGACAACATTTTCATGTTCGATGAATATTGTTCTGAATTCCTTTGTGCTTCCTCCAACTGATTAAGACACATCTTTTGAAGTTGGAATATTTGATCCAGTCTATCGTACATATTGAATTTATTTATTATAATAAAAAATAACACAGTTAACAAAAATCTGGAATCAACAAATAAACAAAAAAATGACAGCTTTGTTTATTGCATGTATACATACCCAACAAACATTTAATGTTAAAAATCAATATTGCAAATGATCTAATATTAAAAGAAGTTGTAAATTTTAAAGGCAGTTATTTTATAAACACACTAAAATAACAATATTAAAAAAACACAGGATAACGTTATTTTAGCATGTTATTTTGACAATTTGTTGGAAATAATCCACTATATGTGTTTGAAAACCTTTGATTTAGTGTTTGTTGGGTGATTATGTGCTTAAATGAAATGTCAACGACAATAATAAAAACCGCCAATTGTGATAACATTTTGGCAACTCTGTTTTAGTGCATTCTTTTAAGTTTAGTAAAATGTAGTGTTAGAAAAGTTCTTGTGTAAATTTTGATTTTAATTAAAATATGTGAATAAATAAACAAATAATTTACTGTAATGACTTAACTAGTGAAAAAGTCAGCTTTAACTTGTTATAAGAGCAGTAAAGGTAAGTGAAATTTATTTATTTCAAAGATTTTGAAAATTTGGTACGACTTTGTGTGTTAAATACAATGCTTTTAAAATATTGCAAAAAATATAGACACATAACAATATATATTAAAGATTACTTTTAGCTCCATCTTATTGACGAACTTGTTGAATTACACTTGTACTTAACTTTCCAAAGATAGGTATTTCCCAAAGTGGCTATTTCTGACAAATTTTCTATAGATGTGGGAAAATAATAAGTACAGTATAACTCGCTATTTTGCTACTAGTAGGATTTAATTTCCTTTTTATGTACAGTGTTGTTAAAAATAATAGAAAATAATTTAAACTCGATTTCTTAAAAAATTTAATATTTTTGTTTTTTAATATAAATTAATTAAGATATTTATTTTTCATGTGTTAAATTTGGAATGAACTAAATTTGCATACATAATCATATTTAGAAACGACTGCTATCCATATTCATCTTGCATTTTTCTTCTTATATTGGAGGATTTCCATCTTTATAATTAAAAAATTAGACTCTTTAATCAAATAATAGTATTTTATCTAAAAAATGTATTCATATTTTCACATAGATATGTATATGTACATAAAATCATTTTTAGGACTTTATTTTCAACAATTCCATACATATTTATATATAACTGGTTTTATTTCAAATCTGACTCAAATTGGTTCTTCCAATTATTTGTCTCATTGTTTGTAATTCATCTCTTAGTGCCATTACTTGTGCTCTCAATAAGGAGTTTTCTTGCTCCAGAAATGCCGCTCTGAATGCAATACGATCTTCACGTATTTTACGAGCATCTCGTGATTTTTTTGCAGCTTCATTATTACGCTTTCTTCTCTCATAGTATTTATCATCCTTTTGTTCGTCTGGTATTGGTCTTTTTTCTCCTCTTGGACGGCGGTGTAAAAATGATGGAAACATACCACCGACGCGATTTAGTTCCATTAATGGAAAATCAACTGGACTAATATTACGAACTCCTGGCGTCAAATACTCAAATGCTGGCAAAGTCGTCTGATGATTTAGTAGGGTCGTTGAAGTTCCTGTTAAAGGTAAAACGTTTATATTGGGCAAGGGGTGTGTATTATCATTTGAAGGCAGCTTCGTAGTGTCAACTTCCATTGACTTTAAGAACTGTTGTGATTTATTCGAGACAGTTTCTGTTTGTATTAAAGAACTTGTTGTATTTTCCAACTCCGTCGGTAATTGTTCCAATGTTGAGCTATCTATTACATCCAAAATCGGAGAGGTTGGTGGCGTTCTCTCCATTTCATAGTTGTGCGGTAAAATTGTATCTAGCTGTGGTGGAATTTGTGCATTTTTTATTAAATTATGATAAGATGTGGTTGAATCTGAAATATATGTTCATGTTTCTTGTTTATTAATTTGGAACATTTGATTTGAATGGTTTTTTTTTAATTTTTAAACAAAAAGTTATGGCACTGGATCTAAAATGAATCAACGTTTTTAAAGTTTTCTTGGACATTCAAAAACTATTATTAAAGTTTATATATATGTACATATATATTCATCGATTTGAATGTTAAGAGCACATACATATATATGCACATACATTTAAGAAGAAACTTAAATTTAATGACATATTCCACTTCTTCGACTTATAAAAATGTATATGTATTTTGTATGTTTACTTTTATACCCAACGTCTTTTCGTAAAGGTTTTTGGCAATAAATTGTATATTTAAAAAATCTCGAATTACCTGCAGCATTAGGAATCATTAACCGATTACGTGTGCGTAAGAATTGAAATGTAGAAAATGATAATGGTTCTACTAAATTGCTAAAATTTCTTGGATGCAAAGATGTGTTACACATGATATTTTTTTATATTTTATTTGATTTTTTTTTTTAACGAACATAAACCGTCTTTCGTTACCAAAACTAATAACGTCAAAATAATAACTAACGCTTACACTTTTTATTGAAATATTATTTAAAAAATAGTAGCGATATTTGGTTTGTTTTATTATTAATAAAACGAATTTCTCCCTCGTTTGTCTAACCTATTGCGTAGTGTTAGTTAGAGTTTGTTGTACATACATACATATAGATAATTACATCGAACTTCATACATACTCCATAAGGATACTCAACCACCTATACCTACCAGTGACTCTGATTCAACCAATCACGCAATGTTGACTAGTAATTACCACGTAAATTGCATGACACTTTACATACTTTCAAAATGACATGAATTTTATAAGTTGATTTATTTTGTGTAAGTATATGTGTGTGTGGCACAGGCGATTATAAGGACTTCATATAACTGGTTACAATAAAAATTATCATTTATGTACACCCCTTAATGTTCAAAAACAAAAAAAAGAACACAAAAATATCTTGTAATAATGGACGGTTGTTCGAGTGACATGTAAAGGAATTTTTAATAAGACTTAGTTGTACTGGTTGGAGAATCAATCTACGAGAATTTGCCAGTAGTTCATATAGCTCATTTACTACAAGGCTGGCATAATCCGAAAGAGAATGTTTCGAGAAAAACCGCTCTAAATGTTTAATGACATTTTACAGTTTCTTAAATAAATTTTAAAGAAATCATGGAATTTGAAAAATGAAATCAGATTAAGGTAGAAAAGTAGAAAATAGACAAAACTAAATAAACGACTCTAGAATGGCACATATTTTTTATTATTCAGTTAAAAAAACTAATTATTTTCAACGGTGCCACCCTAATTTATAATTTACATATTTCTTTTATTATTTTTAAATTACTACCCTCCCTCGCATTTCTGTAAGCGTTTTATTAAAGTATGTGTGTATGTAGATTGTTTTGTTACACTTTGAATTGGGAGGTAATAATTACACACTGTTATGCATGACAATACTGGTATAGAAAAAAATCAGTGTAGCAAATATATAAGGAGGGGTTTATAACTAAAGTAAAATGTGTGATAACCAATCAAAATAGAGCTTTAAATATCACATAATATTACCTATAATATACCTAGGTATATGAACTAACTATTCCATGCATGTGTATGTGTGCATGTTTTAATACATGTATTTTTTTATACATATTTTTTCTTTAATAAATACTTACAGACATTACATATTATACATTTTGTCCCTACATTGACATATTAAAAGTATTAAAGGACATTAGGTTAGTTCTATATATGGGACCTCTAGTTGGTGCTTTTAATTAAAATTAATTTTTTTTCTGTTAGACTATAGACTAGACTATATATGGGATCTCTAGTTGGTGTTTTTAATAATAATTAAATTCTTTCTGTTAGACTATAGACTAGACTATATATGGGATCTCTAGTTGGTGTTTTTAATAAAAATTAAATTTTTTCTGTTAGACTATAGACTAGACTATAGACTAGACTATAGACTAGACTATAGACTAGACTATAGACTAGACTATAGACTAGACTATGAAGACTATAGACTAGACTATAGACTAGACTATAGACTAGACTATAGACTAGACTATAGACTAGACTATAGACTAGACTATAGACTAGACTATAGACTAGACTATAGACTAGACTATAGACTAGACTATAGACTAGACTATAGACTAGACTATAGACTAGACTATAGACTAGACTATAGACTAGACTATAGACTAGACTATAGACTAGACTATAGACTAGACTATAGACTAGACTATAGACTAGACTATAGACTAGACTATAGACTAGACTATAGACTAGACTATAGACTAGACTATAGACTAGACTATAGACTAGACTATAGACTAGACTATAGACTAGACTATAGACTAGACTATAGACTAGACTATAGACTAGACTATAGACTAGACTATAGACTAGACTATAGACTAGACTATAGACTAGACTATAGACTAGACTATAGACTAGACTATAGACTAGACTATAGACTAGACTATAGACTAGACTATAGACTAGACTATAGACTAGACTATAGACTAGACTATAGACTAGACTATAGACTAGACTATAGACTAGACTAGACTAGACTATAGACTAGACTATAGACTAGACTAGACTAGACTATAGACTAGACTAGACTATAGACTAGACTAGACTATAGACTAGACTAGACTAGACTAGACTAGACTAGACTAGACTAGACTAGACTAGACTAGACTAGACTAGACTAGACTAGACTAGACTAGACTAGACTATAGACTATAGACTAGACTAGACTAGACTAGACTATAGACTAGACTATAGACTAGACTATAGACTATACTATAGACTAGACTATAGACTAGACTATAGACTAGACTATAGACTAGACTATAGACTAGACTACAGACTAGACTATAGACTAGACTATAGACTAGACTATAGACTAGACTATAGACTAGACTATAGACTAGACTATAGACTAGACTATAGACTAGACTATAGACTAGACTATAGACTAGACTATAGACTAGACTATAGACTAGACTCTAGACTAAAGTAGTCTTAATCTAGTCTAACAAAGTAAGCGTCAACTTTATTATTCCTCTTTGACATTTTTTGAAGTCATCTTAATGTTAACACATAAAACTCTCTATTTTGTTGCAAAACAATAGAAAAGTATGTAAAAAAGACATCAAAATGAATGATTTTGCAAAAATATTTTCTTACCAAATATATTACACAAGTTTCCAATTAATTATCACGCATTTGGTTATTTTATTAGTTTATACATATTTTTGCATATTTAATAAAATTAAAAATGTAACTAAATAATTATGCTAAAAATTGAACAATAAATTAAATTATACATATTGTGAGAATTTTACACCTGTTATCAAAGTTTAGAAATTGTTGGGTTTTGTCAACAACTTATATTTTGTTAACTTTAAATAAATGAAGACTGACCGTTAGCGTATGTCAGAAGCACATAGAAAATCCTAAAAACTTGATATATCACTAAGAATTTAGGGACGATTCCTTCTGTTCGCTGTGACAGCTACTAGTAAACGTTTAATTTGAATTAAATAGATTTGTGTATGTAACTATCTCATAGCTGCTCTTTAATTTATGCACCAGAAGCTAACTCATAATGAGGTAACTGATATAGAGTGCGTGAAGAAATGACTCGTTCTTATGACATTACGTTGAAAAATTGGTTTTAAGTATAAGCAAAATGGTTATATTTTGAATCACTACTGATTCATTTGTGGTTAACCATGAGTTAGATTTAAGTTAGCTCATAATCTTACTGGGTTTATCTGATTTCTATTGATATCTGATTTACAATTAGTTATTTTTTTTTTTAATTTTATTAAGTAATTTTTGTACAGATATGCGTGGCTTTGTTTACTAACAAAATATTTTTGCAGTTAATTTAATTTTGATGATAACATAATGGCAAATTGTTTTGATTTTAGCTTTGTTTTTAATTATTTTTAAGTATTTATCATCCATTAATCAAACGAACTGACAAATTCGTACTACATATCACTACTTTTCGACAGAGGGTAACGGCCAACGTGACCAGATAGTTTTTAACTTAAAGTGGGATTTCGAAGGAAAAAATTGGGTGGGAAAAATTTACTAGTCCAAAAATTGATTTATTTTAAAAATCGAGGCAATTATATACTCTATTTGAAGGTTCAATTAACTTGAGTTTATGAAGGATTGAAAAGTCGAGATATTTTGCTATAGGTGGAACTTACATTCAAAATGTAATTCTTAATGGGAAATGTCTGGTCACGTTACGACTGACATAACTCAAAAAGCATTGTTTGGAGAAAAAACGAGCATAATATATAATCATGAACTTTTCACATATTTTTTCACATGGGATTTCAATATAATAATCGTAGTATACTTTAACTCTTATGTAATGCCCCATTGTCTACTTTTTAGACACAAATTTTAAGTTCAAAGTACTTTGTTTTTAGAATTTTGACCGATAATTTTCTAATACATATTTTTCACACGTTTTTAAAGAGTGCTTTTCATTTTCAACCTTGTCAAACAGTTTCTTAAATTAAATTTATTTTTGATAGTTCAAGTATTAGTAATTGAAAGTGTCTATTATTATAAAATTTTAAGCGATTTAAAAAAATAATTTTTTTGTATCGAAAGAAAGTGACGCGAGTATCGAGATTTGTATAAAGAAATTTTTTCATACTATCATGGTTATTGGTCTAAAATTAGAACAAGTAGTGTAAAAGGCGTACATATACCTACTTTGGTTAATAAAAACGATTTTTTTTAAATGTTGATTTGGAAAATTAAATGATAGAGAAACCTATTGTAATTCATTTATTACTAAATAAATATTTACATACTATAAATATGTAGCTTTACACCCATGTATGTATATTTATTTGTACGTATGTATATCATAAAAATCTAATCGTTCGAGCGTAGTAATTGTTACAACTTTTGTGTATTTTAAGGATTGTATGTCCTGGTGTAATTTCTTCAAATATTTGCCTATCTATATTCTTGCCTATATAAACTATTAGATGTGCATACTACATACAAACAAGTTGTTAATGACACCTTTAATTAGATGAAATTAGTTTAGTATAATTAGAACATAATAATAAACTGCCGTAGTAAATATAGTAAGAGTAAATTTTGTTGTTTCTAAACACATGATTTATTTGTCATTCATAAATAATAATAATAATAATAATATTTTTTCTTGATTTGTTGTATTCGTATACTCTGCATTTATTTTTATATAAATATTTATACGCTAATAATCAAAATTTCGAAATATGTCAATATTGCGCTGTAATATACGGGACGTGGAACCTACCACCTCCAGCTTAAGACGAAATGATTATCATTTACATACACCATTGTTTGTGCTCGATGTTATACGTTTATTTCAAGACCACCCCAAATATATTGGTGGACTAAAGGAGAGTCATATAGTAGGCTTATTAGAAAAAGAGTAAGTTGCAAGAGAGATAGTGGCTACACTACTTTTTAATATTTTATATTGAATTGTTTAGAGATATTGCTACCGGCGATGTAGAAGCCCAAGTGCGAATGGCCTTAAAGGAATTAATGTCTATTGGTTTTGTACGTTTTGTTTCTCAGGGATATCGCACCTTGGGCCCATTTGCTAAATTAGCTTTAGCTCGCACACCACACCAGCAGAATGTGGCCTGGGAACGTTTAAATAAAATGCAAAAAATTAATTGTATGAATTTAGGATCATCATATTCTATGCGCTCTTGCAGTTAAATTTAATAAGTACTAGTTTATTAATATATAAATAACTTTCCATGTTAAATATAGAAAAACTACAGGTCACGCTCTATTATTTATCAAATGGTTACCTTTTTTAATGCCTTTTACCACAAAACCCAAAACCTTTTGCGGTAATTATTTTACAAAATATTTGTGGTCAAATTTGATGACTTTAAAATTGATAATGTTAAATAGTAGAGTTAAGGCAGAAGTGTGATAAATCGCAAAACAACTGTATAAATGGTACTTCCCTCATAAAATTTGTGGTTAGCAAATATCTTAAACAAAACTAATTTTTTTTCTGAGTACTAAAAATATCTTCTGTAAGACCAAGATATTTTTTGTCATAAACATCAAGTTGTAACTCATTTTTGTTTGAATTGTAATTTTAAATAGTGAACAACGCTGGAGCACCTTCAAGTGAAAATTATAATGAGATATTTTGAAAACCTCCTACACTATTAAAAAAAATATTTCAACTCTGACAAAATAATACGCACCAATTACCACACATTAACACATATATACTCTATGACAAATAATCACTCTACTTTCGAAAATACACCGAACAAAAGGACAAATATTAAAACACTATATATAAAAAGCCATTTACTAGACAAAAGGAGACAATAATCGAACAGGTAATTGCTGCAATATATTACACTCAATGTTCGGATATTTAAACAAATTAATGGTAATATTTCAATACAGGACATAATTATTATGCGGCTGCTATTCTAGACTAATTGTTATTGACGAGCAAAAGCTAAAGGACATACAAGGGTTATGATTTCATAAAAATATACATATGGCCATCAAAAGGGATGACTGTGGATATCATTAAATATCGTGCTTTATTTTTGGAAATGAAACATATGTTTTTAAGTTAGTCCTTTTTTTAGTTTTAGTGATTTACTTTGTAGGTTAAATTATGTCACACATGAGGACGAGACATTAGGAAACATCCTTTTTAACACTTAACCCTACAGCGAAAAAGGAGTAAATTTGTTTTTATTTTGTTTTTAAGCTATAATTAGAGGCTAAACAAAATTGGGCATGTGTGTTGTATAAATTGGGGGGAAGGGTGGTCTACATACATACTATGTATATAAGGGGTGTTTTAAAAATATCTCGATTGTTATCAATGTGAGTTTTTTATAAAAACAGGTTTTTTTGTTTAGATTTTGATTAATTTTTTTTTTTAATAAAATTTTTAGTTAAAAAAATAAATTTTTTTGTAAAAATTCGGGTCTTGAATAGAAATTTTTGTAAAAAATTAATTTTTAGTAAAAATTTTGAAAATGTTAAAAATCGAATTTTAGTAAAGAATCTAATTTTCAATAAAATCAAAGTTTTAGTGAAAAATCGAACTTTTAAAATCTAGAAATCGATTTTCCGTGAAAAGGGGATTTATGTAGTATATATTGGTCCAGTGTTTTGTAACATATTTGAAAAAATATTTCCTTAAGAAGTCTGATTTAGAATTTCGAAATTTTAATAAACATAAATATTAGTTTCCATAACTTTGTTCGAATTCTTGCAATATATTGAAATGAGTTAAATAAATAGTATAACATGGACCTACTGCAAAATCAGTATAAATAATTTTATTATCACTAATTGCAGCAATTCGTTGGTGTCATAGATATTTATTCATGTATAAACCTAAATCACACTTAACCCTTAAACCAAAAAAACCATCACTATATTTAAACACGCATGAGATTTGGAGCAGGTGTTATTTATGTTCCGTTTTTTTTTTTTTGTTTCTGTTGCGCCACTAATCATTGCAGAATAATCTATTAGAAACTATATTACCAGTAGGTTTTGTCAAAGTAGAAACAAAAAAACTACAATAAAATGTCAACAGGGGAAAAGCGAATCATAACCAATATTGTTGACAATTAAGCGAACATTAGGGTGACATCTTAGTTGATAATTGAAATATATATTTTGGGAATGAGCTGATAGTTTATAGGACGAGATTCCATATGACATTTCAAAATTTTACTTTACTTTCCCTTCAGTAAACACTGCCCTAATATTAGGTATGATTCGTGTTAGAGACCCTAATGAATTATGTGTTCAGAAAAATACAATAAAACATTAGTGGCATAATTTTATACGAGCATGATATTTGTAAGTTGTTGTAAGCAATTATTTTTTATGACTTTAGTTGTTAAACATTTGTAATATATTTTCAACAAGAATCAAAAGCATATAGCAGAGATGAATATATGAAACATTTTACAAGCACATAGGTAAATAAAATCATAGCTTTTTCTGTTTGTTAGAAATATGTAGCAAAATCGTGGGTGTATATGTATATGACGATCAAGTTGTATATAACGATCAAGTTGAATCAAAATTTTGCCATAAATGTTTAATTTTATAAACGGAACCTTTATTAAGTATTTTTAAATATTATCTTCACAAGTACAAATAGGTATTTATTTAGAAGCAATCATCAATACTGTGCAATTTACCGTCACAGTATTTCCAGGTAGACCAGGCAGACCAACCTTGTTGTTTCAAAACTAAACGGGCACACTTAACAGCAGGTTCAATGCTATCAACTAGAAAGTCTTCACATTTAATATGACATTCATCGTAAGAGAAAGCACCAGATGGAGGAGAACACCAGTAGTAGTTGTTAATTTGGAAAATGCCATAGTCACGGGAACCATTAGAGTTCATTGAACCGACAGCCTTAGTATTATAGGCAGATTCATGTTCAGCAATACAAGTCCAACGTGCCAATTCGTCCTTGGGAACGCCAAGTTTATGCATTTCCCTGGCCAATGAACAACGGTTGTATACTTTGCTGAAGGCTGGAGCCACTAAGAGGAAAGCAGCCAAAATGACGAATGTAAACTTAAACATTTTGATGAAGTAGTAGTTGTAATACTAATAAAAGTCTACAATTTACAGCCTATTTATATTTAAAATTGAATAAATATATTTGTAGTTGGTCATATCTCAAAGTACTTAAGTAGATAAGAATGGTAATTGATTTTTGATCAATTAATAGAAAGACATGATTTAATTTTCAAATGTTGGTTTCTAAGATTATTTTATTTAATCGTTCTATATATAATGACAGTAAAAATTATGTAAACATGTTTATACATACATATGTATGTAAAACAGAAAGGAATTATTTGTCTTTATCTGTCTTAAGAGCTTTAACAAATTTAAAATATTTGGGGCCTGCAACCTGTAGACTGATAGACTACCTTGTTATCAGTAAAACTATCGGGGAAATCATTCATAATTATTTTTGGACTTCAAAATTGAAAAACTTTAATATAGAGCTCATAATGCATGTCAATTAATTTATTTATATTAAATAATTTGTCAATAACTAATAACAATTCTTATCTAATTTGCGATATAAATTAGACAACAACAAATATAGTTAACACTTTGTATATAAGTTCGAAAATTTCAGTATTTTCATAGTATCACTCCTACTACATTAGCAAAATGTTTAAGTTTACATTCGTTATTTTGGCTGCTTTCCTCTTAGTGGCTCCAGCCTTCGGCAAAGTATACAACCGTTGTTCATTGGCCAGGGAAATGCATAAGCTTGGTGTTCCCAAAGACGAATTGGCACGTTGGACTTGTATTGCTGAACATGAATCTGCCTATAATACTAAGGCTGTTGGTTCAATGAACTCTAATGGTTCCCGTGACTATGGCATTTTCCAAATTAACAACTACTACTGGTGTTCTCCTCCTTCTGGTGCTTTCTCTTACGATGAATGTCATATTAAATGTGAAGACTTTCTAGTTGATAGCATTGAACCTGCTGTTAAGTGTGCCCGTTTAGTTTTGAAACAACAAGGTTGGACTGCCTGGTCCACCTGGAAATACTGCGACGGTAAATTGCACAGTATTGATGATTGCTTCTAAATAAATGTCTTTGAAAATAATAAAGAAACCCGGTTATAAAATTAAACTTTTTTGTTAAACATTAAATTTAATAAGACTATTTATTACGTTGAACATTGTTTAAAACTCTTTTTTTATGATAAAATAGAGATATATAGCAGATTAATATTTTTTTAAGATATTTCCCCTTTTGATGGTCATTTCCATAAAAATTTTCCGACTCTATAAATTTTGGAATTCTTATAGAAGTCAATTTAGCGTTGTGCGTCTAGATGTTTGATATGTACATATACAAATTCCGGATCCCAATCTTCAATAGTTCTATCAGACATACTTTCGAGATGTGTGCTATTGATGATCAGCAAAATCGCCTCATAAATAGAGGAGATATGAGCAAATTCATATTTAAATGTTTTTTAATACAAAGTCGGAATTTTTTTATTATAAACAAGTGTAATGGTTTGACTCACACTTACACTGCGGCTTATCCATCTTCCAAATTTAGTAGAAGGAAACTTGCCGCGGAAGTTTTTCGTTATTAGAAAGGCACTACTGGCTACCATGTAGTAATAGGGTCTTATTTTGGTCATTACTCTAATGTACATACATACATACATAGGCAATATGTGTGTCTATCAAACGGAAGATATTCGAAAGACCTTTCATTTAATATGCATTATGTTATGGAAAATTTACGTTTTTGGGAATTTTACTCATATCTTAACCATTTATGCACAGAAGTAAGATTTTTCAGGTAATTTGTTTTTTTAAATCTTATAAAAATTAAACTATTAGGTTAACAAATTTACCCATTATTCGCTTCTTTGTTTTTTTTTCATCACCCGGTAAACACCCCATAAAATCCCATCAATTAGGAAAATGTTTACTAATTTGATTTAATAAAATCCTTTATTCAAAATTTAACAATTTGATTTTTATAATTATGTAATATAAACTTAATTAAAAAAATATAACTTGATTACAATTTATAAGGACACTGTGTAGTGTTTGCACTAATCATTTAGGGATATAATTGTATGTAAAACGATAATTATGTATGTGTTTATATATGTATATTTTCCAATTAGTTTATCAACTTTATTAACTTGGGTTTTAAATTTTAAAAACAATCGTCAATGCTGGGCAAAGTATGATCACAATATTTCCAAGTAGACCAGGCACTCCAGCCTTGTTGTCTCAAAACCAATTGAGCACACTTAACAGCTGGTTCGATACTGTCAACTAAGAAATCAGCACATTTGATCTTGCATTCGTTGTAAGAAAAGGCACCGGAGGGTGGAGAGCACCAGTAATAGTTATTGATTTGGAAGATACCATAGTCGCGTGATCCGTTTGAATTCATTGAACCCACAGCTTTGGTGTTGTAAGCAGATTCATGCTCAGCAATACACGTCCAACGAGCCAATTGATTTTTGGGAACACCAAGTTTATGCATTTCTCTAGCCAATGAGCAACGTGTATAAACTTTGCCAAAGGCTGGGGTGACCAGGAGGACGGCGGCCAAAATTGTTAATGTTAATTTCAACATTTTATTTGGTGGTCGAAGTAATTCTGTTCAAATCCAAACACATAAAGGCTTTTTATACACATAACATTTGAAAACTCTACAGATAAAGACGCCCAAAAAATTGAAACACGCAAATGACAAATTGTCTAAATATGATAAACATATCTTTAAAGTTTCAAGTATTTTTAACAAATTGATTTGTTTACAATAAGCGTTTTTGGATAGAGATACAACAAGTACATATATGTATATATGTACATACATATATACGAATATATGAAAAGTATGAAAATTATTGTTTTTATCATTTATCAATATACAATTTTAATCACATATTGATTTTTTTCATTGTAATATTTATTTGTTTAAAATATGAACTTCGACCTCTGTGTTTGGCTTTAGAATCATTAAATTATTTTCCTTGCAACCGCATTTAGCAGTTGCAATATCAATAATTTTGCCTGTTTCTTGGGCTTCTTGATAGTCTATTTCTTGATCTAAATAAAAGTCATAAATCCTTATGTGTCCATTTGTCAGGGCAAATAAACGCCATCCATCTGAGGATAATTCTAAGGATTTAATAAGGTTCTTTCTTAAAACTGATCCGTTCATAATGATTTGTTGATCAAATATTCTTAACTCAAATGGTTTTTGATTGCTGTCAATTAATGCTATACATGCTGCAGTGTTCGGGCGATAAACTGGATCAAAGTCCATATCTTCGTATGATTTTTGCACATTCAATAGTATATTCTGTATGGCACAAGATTTTCCCGTTATGGGATTTATATCCGACATTAGGTCTCTGCTGGGAGGTATAGATTCAGTTAAATTTGATGTTTTAGCTGATTTGTTATTATGCATAATTTTATTCGATTGGCAGTTTAAAATCATGACTGCTCCATTAGAAAGTCCCACCGCTAAGAAGTGCTCATTACTCAGCACTTTTAAAGCTGTTGGAAATAAGAAACGACTTTCATTTATCACAATTCGTTGTAGTTTGTCCATTTTAAGTGCCTTTGAACAAATTAATATATAATTTCGATTTGTGCAGATAAATACGTTTTCTGAACCACATTCTAAGCTTGTAAATCGTAGACCTTGCTGTCCTACACCTGCATTGCATTCATTGAGCTCTTTTAATGCCTCGTCACTGTAAATATCCTTTTGAAAGAATGCTTTGGTTTTGTCAAATCGAGATTGAATCTGATGAGATTTCGTTTCCAAATAATCTTTGATATTAACTATAGTACTTTGCATAAGTTTTACTCGGGCCCACGGAGAAGTAAATTCAAATGTTTGAGACATTTTTGAAGAATTTTTGGGTTTTTCATATTTTTTCATTTGTGAAAAATTGATAGGTGTTTCCGACGTTTCCACTAAAGTCCAAACTGTGACAAATCCGGAATCATGAAGAGAAATAAACTGAAATATAAAATATAGATTAATACTACTGTATTTCGCAAAAGAAATGTATTAATGGGATGTACCTGTGTTTTTGGGAATGTTCTTTGAGCTAACATGTTATTAGACTGGCTTCTGAAGCTTTTTACATCTAAACATGCCCCCAAGTCCATTACTAAGGTGGTCTTATCCTTAATTCCACTCCAAGAAGGTACTAGTGATTGTGTGGCGGCAAATTGTGTTAAATACCCATCGAGTTTAGAACAAAATGAGTGCGTTTCTCTCAAATCCCATAAAGCTATGGAACCATCTCTTAAAGCGGCAACAATTATATCCGACGAATCATTAGATATTTCCACCTTCGAAACCTGACTCCAAGTTGTTAAAAGACGTAACGGCTTATCACAGGTGTTGGTGCACCACACCATCAGAAGGTTCGTAAAGTCAGAGCTGTACACATTAGTATCGGGTAATGATTCATGCACCGTTATAAGTAAATTATATTTATTGTTAGAGAATATTTTTACAACTTGTAAAGTATTGAGGAAATTTGAATCTATGTAAAAACATTTTTCAGACACACGCGATAAAACCTGGTCATTTTCATAAGGAGAATTCGGTTTTGGTTTGTTGATAGTGGTGTTATTTGAGGAGCCCAGTATTTGATCTATAACAAGAGACGATCGCAAAAGGAATGAATTTAAATGTTCATAGTTTACGGGTTTTCTTTGTCGTTTTTGATAATTTTGGTACGTTCGTTTAGAACTTTGACTATTAAGTTGCTTTAACATATCTAAACTTTGCTCCAGTTCACATTCTGGCAATAAATGGTTTTGAAATTCATCAATCGATTCGCCACAACAATTCTGACTGTATATACCGGTTTTATCGAAAGTTTTAATGATTTTTAAATCATATTGAGGTGGATGTTGCGTCCATATAGAACGAGTTTCCTGCAAGTCTGTCTGTTGTTCAACATTCATTAGATTACCCTGTGTTTGTGTGAAATTTTGATTTGTATTAAGTTTGCCAAAGATTTGCATAAATATGTCATAAGAAATCGGTTTCAGATCAAGCAACGTAAAACTTAAGACATCGAATTGAATTTTTGACATCAGATCGGAGCCTCTTTGATTTATAATGGGTTTGATATTAAAGTTTTTATAACCTCCGTATATAACTTCTACATTTGCATCGCTGTAAGCTGCAACAATTGAAGTTGCATATGTCGATATACCAGAATCGAGCTGTTCCGACAAACCTAAACTAAATGCTTCCAAGCTATCTGTTATAGGCTGTGTAGATTGCGCAGAAATATCCAATGATTTGGGATCAATCGTTTTGCGAGAATTCATGTCATAGTGTCCGGAATCTAATTTTCGCTCTTTGTCTCGCTGAATAACTGTTATGGGATTTTGGGTCACTTCTGAATCATCATCTTCGTCTTCACTTTCATCTGTAGTTAAATTTTTTAGAGAATCTTCTTGATGTTCTATTTCATCAGATTCATTATCAGTGGAATTTGATACATCTTCACTTTCCACGCTTGATGGTTCTGATGAGACCAAAGAGTGTGTAGAAGATTCAAAATCCGATTCATAGGATTCAAAGTCATCTGAATATTGAGGTTCTTCATCGTTTTTGTCTATTATATGGGTAGTATTTGTTTTCACACGAGATCTTGACCTCTCTCTTGTGACATTTTCTTTTTCTTCAAATTTTACTTCAAAAGCTACCGGTTCTTTTACAACAGTCTCTACGGATTGCTCGGTTTTTATATTTTCTTTTCGAATTTGCTCCTCAATTCTCTTTTTAGCCGATTCTCTTTTTAATACAACGATTTCATCGGGAGCTAAAGTTCTACTTCCTTTTCGGGTTAACTTGATGTTGCTGCTTTTTGATTTATTGAAGCTTGGTTCAGTCTCAACATTTTCGATACTCTTCCTTTTGGGTGGAGGTGAGACTACAGTAACATTATGGGGAGTATCTAAAACTGCATTTGGTTTTTTATTAACAGGTTTTTTATCTATTTTTTCTATGCTTGTTTTAGGTGATGTATAACTTTTACTGATTTCTTTTATGTCCTTTGAGGTCGTCAAGTGTTTGGCACGTAATGGTAAATCTTTTTGTTGTGAAATTGAACTGACCTTTCGCGATGCCAAGGCTTTTGTTGGTAAATTTCCTGCTGTTTTTCTTGGTGGTTGTATTTTATTAACTGCCACTTTAGCTTTGTTTGATGTGGTGCTGCTGGCAACGTTTGTTATTTTTGTTTTGCTTCTTTCCTTTTCCTCGCTAGCTGTCGGTTTGCTGTCTTTTAACTGAGCTGATGTTTTTAAAGTACTTGATGTAGTTGGTTTTTTTACGAGAGCTTTTTTGTTAGCTGCCACATCAGATCGTAATACTTTAGTATCCTAAAAAGTTTAATATTGAGTAGAATTTAATAAAGACTATTATTATTTAAATGAACCATTATTAAGAAATGTTTAATAAAAATTGGAAAAGATGGCGATTGAGTCATGATGTTTTACAAGTTAAACATGTATATTTAATAATTCAAACACTATTTGCTTACTTGTTTTTTTGTTTTTAATTGATCACTTCTTAGAACTTTCGACATTTAAATATTTATAATTTATCTTAAGGAATTAATATGAATATTTCAATTAATTTCAGTTTCTTTATTAAATCAATGAAATTTTAATAAAATTCCTATTATAAATATTATTGTTGTGGCAATCAATTTCTCTTAGTGCCATGGTAACAGATATTTACACCAAGCCATATTATTTCGAACAGCATTACCGACATTTTCCCTTTTTTCACCACAAAGTATTAAAAGTTTAAAGAATTATTTTTATTAATTTATTTTTTCATAACCTTTATTTTATTTAGCTTATTTTAGTAAGAAAATTGAAGAAATTGATTTTTTCGATCTTTTGCCTCCATGAAAAAAATTGTTTGTTGTCTCTCAATATTTTTAAATTCTATTTCTTCAAGATTTGAATCTGCAATAGTGTAGTTATAAAATAAAAAAAGACTTTACCACATAGTAGAACTTTTACTTAACAGTTTCTTTATTTGATAATAAAGTTTATTACAGTAGTTTTTTACTTTTTTTTTACAAAAGTTTCTATTTTAAAATACAATTTTTAAAGTATCGTATTAACTTAATTTATAATTTGCTGCGTGCTCCTTTGGCCCTTATGTCAAGGAATGGTGAACACAAGGGATAAAGTTCTTTGCTTGATTTGAAAGCAACCAAGTCTGTGATTTTAGCATGTCGGTCCAATACAGCATTTACATTATCATCATCCGTTGGTTTTTCAACGTCCTTGCTGTCTTCCTGTGGACTCTGATTTGAGACTATATGAATAGCCAGTACTCGTCTTTCGGGACTATCACGTCCTATAAAAGTCTATATGGAAAAAGTGAATTATTACTATCTGTCATATTGGCAGTTAGTATTTGTTAAAAAAAAACTTACTTTATAACACTCAAGTAATTCGTCCTTGGTAATATTACGAAGGATTTCAACTTCTGCTTCACTGCGTTCAAAATGATATTGCGACAATGCAATTTCATTGTAAAATAAACTAAATTGTGAATTTACTGTTTTCGGTTTTTCCAGTTTTTTCACCACCAAAGCCTCTTTATGTCGATCAAATTCCTCCTGGGACATTTGTTCGATTGCTTTCTGTAAACCACAAGACCAAAAATTATTACTTTGATTATTGAAGAAACACAAATTGATTTTAATATAAAAAACTCACCAAATAGTTATCAAGGAAAGTTTCAATACGACCCTCTACATAAGATGGATGTTTAGATGATTGTACAATAATACGTATACCATTTGCGCCATTGACCTTGCGCATACCGCTAAACACAATATAGCCCAATTGTTCCTGAAAAAATATTAATATTTGGTTAGTTGAGTTTTGTTTTTATATATTTTAGAATTCAAATACCTTTGTCCGCAAGCAGTCATAGCAAGGCTCCGTTAAAATTTGTGCTATTAAATTGACCATAATATTGCTGCGATCTGTTTGAGGTCCACATTGAAAGTATAATTGAGCACAAGAACTTTTGTGATAATTATTATCCTTTTCGAATAAATAACTGTCGCCTGATTGAAGAAATTTCATAAAATTTTCAAATATATCTAGATTTATCGTTAATACTCGTAAATGATACTCACCAGCACATAATTTATATTCTCTTTTGGCAAGCATCTGTCGTGCCAGCAAAGGCAATACCATTGCATTTGTTCCTTCCAAGCGTTTATTTACCAGACCAGCTATTTCGAGAGCTTGTTGTTTTGTTACATTACCATAAATAAAGCTTTCAGTATGTAGACGGGAGAAAAACTCTTTTGCATAATTGAGAACACGGTCAAAGGTTACAACTGAAATTGAAAAATTCATTTAATTTTGTGATACAAATAAATAAGGCGAATACTAACGTTCCATAGCATCTAAAAGTTCACTATTTGCCCAAGCATTTTCAGTTAATAGCAGAGCTAAGTAGTATATGGAGTGTTGGTAAGGTTGTTCAGCACTGAAGTTCTTTAGAGAACGTTTGTATTCATCTTTAAGTATATGGAAACGTTTTTCATCAACGTTGAAATCAAACAAATGATCAAGAAGTTTTTTTAATAGCACAACTTGTTTGTCGTTATAACCAGTGATGGTAAACTGTTAGTGTAAATAATTATTAGTTTCAGTAATTGAAATATAATGTTTTTATCTTTTACTCACATCAATTCCATTTGATCGGGGTGCAACTTGCAGTTTTAAATCTGCCAGATCAGCATCGTAGAGATACTCATTCAGTTGATCTTTTATTAAGGCCACCATCAAATAATTTAAATTACAATTCAATGGGTCCAAATAAGCAATTGGATTTGACATATCAAACGACATACAGGCTTTTGGTTTCAAATAAAAATTATCCTGTTTATGCCAAACTCTCAAAATCGGGGTATCCATGATAATAACCGGGTGTTTTGATAAATCACTATCGAATGGTGCCAATTCAAAATTCTCGGGTATAAAGGCATTTGGCAAGGGCAAGTCTAAATTTTCATTCAAAGCACAATTCTCCCATTTCTGCAAAAATATATATACTCTTACTTATGTATGCAATTGAAATGCGATCAATTAACAAACCTTTAGGGTGTTTTTATCAATTTTACAAGTTCCATATTTAGTTTGATAGTAAGGCTCGACTAAGTTGGCTTCTTTTTCATAATTTTGGCCAATAACTATAACACGACATTTAGATGGCACCAACTCATCCAGGAGTTTGGTGATCAAATCTGGTCTCCATTCATCACTGAGATAGGGGGCAGTTAAAACTTGTTCCAAAGGATAAACCTAAGGCAAATAACAACATTAAATTTAGAAATTCATGAGCTACAAACAAAATATATTTCTTCTTAATACCTGCATACAAGTTACAACACCAGTAACCAAACGTTCCGGCTTCTCTTTTTCCTTGAAACTAAAGCGCATTTCATTAATTTTCACGCACTCGTCAAAAATCCATTTTTGTGGTCCACGCTCACGTAGCATTTTAAGGTACTAAAGTTTATATAAGTTAATAAGAATTATGGAAATCTTTTAGTTCGTTCTTACTTGAAATACTATTTCAATTATGTCATCAACATGATCAATTCCTTCCTGAGTTAAATCTATGGAAATTTCAAAGAAACCAAAACCATTCAAGGTATTCTGATGACCTGCCAACAAACTAGTAAATATTTTCAATTAAAATAAACATAATTGCAAAAATACAGTACAAACTTACTCATTGCACCAACCCAAACGTCGCAATTCCGACAATAAACTGCCTTTACCTTCATGACCTAATAAATGTGATAAATAGCTGTCTGGCTATAATATTCAAATAAAAGAAAAATCTATTTTATTACATCAAAACAATTACGTTGATAAAAAAACTACTTACGGCAGATTTATAAAATTGAGTTAGATCATCGGTTGTGAAACTAATTGTTAGAGAACGCAGATCTTTAACTGGCACAATCATCACCTTTTGTGCATACTGATCTTCATCGTAAGGCTCTCTGGGCCAGTGTGGTACTTCAACATTTTTATTTTCAATTTCTGAAAACTTTTCCATAACCATTTGTTCCAGTTCATCAAGTGTCTCTGGAAAATGTAATAGACATTGTAATATACATTGAAATAATACTATTATCTACTAAACAAATACCTTTTCCAATTACTGCCAAACTCATAATGTTGGATGAATACCACTGCTTATGAAACTTAAGCAATTCATCTCGAATTTCAATGTTGTTTTGTTTTGGAATTTCGTATAGGGTAGTTTTATTACCACTGCCGAATTTTTTGTAAGCATGGCCTGCTTTTGCTAAATGTCTTTGAACCTGTTTTATGCGCCAAACATCACTTGAAAGGTTTTTCTCATGTTCGGAATTCACCTGTTAGGAAATATTAAATGCAATTAGTTGCTAAAATAGTCTTTTAAATTATATTACAGCATTAATTTCTCGTTCCGTGGCACTTGGTGTAAATAGGGGTCCAATAAAAAACTGAGCAAATCGATCTAGAGCCTCATCCAATTTTTCGGGGGCCACATAGAAATGATATTTAGTCATTAGAGGATAAGTAGCTGCATTACTACTACCTCCACTTTGAGAAAGATAAGTTGTATAGCCGTTCTCGTGAGGATACTTTTCTGTTCCCAAGAAAAGCATGTGTTCACAAAAATGAGCTAATCCTGGCAAATTATCAGGATCCGACATATGACTAAAATTATTATTAATTATATTTAATATTAATACATATTATAATACACTTTTCAATTTACCCGACTTGTACTGCTAAAGCGGCAGCTGACACATCAGTTTTAGTATCACTAACAAGTAAGACTTTAATACCATTCTGCAATTGTAGCCCTCTATAGTCGCGTGTATCTTGCTGACTCTTTTCTATGTTGTTTAGCCTAAAGGAAAATTATTGAATTTTATACTAGCCTTGAATTTAAGTATTTACAATAACTTACCTTAATATTGGTTCTAAATCCAAGCCACTTTTTGAAGGCATCTTATTCGCCCTAGACTCTCCTGCAACAGTTGCAAATTCAGCAGGACTTGAGCTACTCATCCCTCTTCTGAAACTTTGATTCAAAACTACTGATGGAAGATAGCTCGTTGACAAAAATTTAATTAAATGATTTTTGCTAAACAAAAAAGCAAAGTAGAAACAATTTCATTAGTCACTCAAAATAATACATTCACAAATTACTTGATCAACTTCTCATTGCAATTGTGGAACTCACCTGCGTTGTGTGAATAGAGCAGGCGGTTTACTCAAAAATTTACAACAAAAAGTTATTGAAGAAACTTGTTTAATAAACATGTAAAAATTTATGACGAAATTTCTCTAGTTGTATAATGAATACGAAAAAAATCTATTCTAAATTATTGTTGAGAAGTTTGGAAAGCAAAAGTACCTATGCAGTGACAACGATAATAAAAAGACATTGTATGAACAGCTGATTGAGTTGTTGCCAACCTTTATGCTGATGACACATTTACTGGAACGTAACGTTACGTACTGTAATAATAGGGATTCGTTTTTGTGGCAGATGTTTGTAGCGTTAAAAATTATATAGTATACTTAAGTATGTGTACAAATTTAACAAAATTTGATAAAAATCGGACCATCTATTTATAAAATAGATAACCGGTTTTATTTTGTTCCCAAAAAATACCATACTTTTTTTACAAAAACCACTCAAAACTAATACGAGGATTGGTTTAATTTTATCAGTGTTTATGTTAACAAAATTCTCTTCGAACTATATTCATTATCACGACCATTTCGCATTCATAGAAAAACTAATTTTACGTAATAGTTCGTAAACGTAAATTTACGTAATGAAAGTAAATTAATATATAAGTTCACACTTATCAAATATGTGACGAAAAAGACGTATCCACTATTTTTTGTAGAAGTTTCTTGATCTTACGTGATTATTTTAATTGCAAATAATGTCGAAGCTAGACATTTTAAAGTGATATTTTCAAAGAGGAAATAAATATTTATTTAAAGGAAATTAATATGTCGATTTTTTAGGGATCACGTAATTTTCGGCAAAAATTTGATAGGTGTGAATGTGCCTCAACTTATAATCAGCAAGTTTATTCTATAAAAAACTACATCTACATGTAAAAATGGCTTAAAAGGATTGGAAAAATACAACTGATACAATGAAATATTTATTCGAACTTTAAATTTTTAGTTATGTTCGAAAATTGTAATATGTAACTCAAACTTGAGCATTTATAAAACAAAATGTTTATGTTTGAAAAAATTTAAAGTTGTTTAAAAAACAACTCCTTTCCTATTTCGAATCTAATTTGTTAAATACTTTAAAAGTATTTTCAGAATTTCAAGTTTTTAAAATACATATATGTATATGTATGTGTTTATGCGCATCTAAAATTAGTTTTCAAAATCGTACTCATTTCAATTGTACTGTAAGATTCACATAAATAAATATTATGAATTTAATTTATTATTTAAAATTTGTCTATAATACATATAATAAATAGGATTGCACCTGTATTCCTCTCTAAAGGATTTTTGGAAAAAATAATTGACAATATACAACATATTTATTAAACTAAAATCTAAAGCATGTAGATTTGCACGCCCAATGTTAATATTAAAATACTTTGAAGTAATGAATTAAAAACAGTTGTAGAAGAACTTCTAGTAACTCCAAATCCAGCCATTGCCAACTTTTCATTGCTGGTCTCATTGTTGAAATCATCTGAATATAAAAAGAAAAAGTTGTAAATTATTTAAAGTTCATATGTAAAAGTTTTTACCTACCTTCATCTTCAATTTTGAATATAAATGGTGCGGAAAATTTCGACCAACCCATAATGTTCTTAGTCTTCATACGAGTTTGCCATTCACCCTCTATTAACTCCATTTCATGGGTTACTTTCCAAATGCCATTCTCATGACGCTGCGTGTGTATAACTGTGGTCGAACTCCATGTGTAAGACTTTGAAATTACTTATTACATATTTATATATTTTTTAAAGTTTAACCAAAACATTTATAACTCACCCCAGACATTTTGTAGTCAAGCACTGCTTCTGACAATGGTTGAAGACTGCGTACCAACCAATGCAATGTAACTTTTTTCCCATCAATTACCACATTTTCCAATTGTCCTTTCTCGGGTTCGAGCATTAAGTGTGTTCTAAGTTCATTAGAACCTATAGAATTCTAAATAATAACGTTAAAGGCACATACAAATTTAAATTGATTAAATTAAAAATGAGAAAAATAATACCTCAGCTCTGCATATATATTCTCCCAAATCTTCCATGGTCACATCTTTAACAGTAAGTGTGCTGCGATTAAAATGTTTTTCCATTGCATAGGAAATCATGTATTTTTCGGAATATTTAATTGGTTGATTATTTTTCAGCCAAGTGGTAATAGCAATAGGATTTCCTTTGTAATCACAATATAATTCGGCATTTCCACCCATTTCTGTATTAATATGGTGTCGATGTGTGGTTACTTTAGGTGGGAAAAGCACTTCAATAATAAACATGCCATGTTTAGGTTTTTCACTGCCATCATCATCCAGACATTGATAAATACCATTGTGATGATCCTCTATACCGCTAAGTATAATAGAACCATCCATTAGTTCGCCAAGAGTTTCATCGAAACGATTGCCCTAAATAAATAGAAAATAAATAATATAGAAAATATGTAAAAATAGTTTTTTTTAATAAAAACTACTTACATTAACCGACCATTTAATGTTGGCTTCACTTGATCCTCTTGACTTACATTCACAAATATGAGACTCGCCTTGTCGAAAAACTATTTTACGATCAATAACGTCACGACCATCACATTGAATATTTAACATTTTATTAACATCTAGCACTACCTCCAGGCGTATTTTCTCGGGAAGAACTTCACAATAGTAAGTGCCGGCATCGTTAGGTTTAATATTTTTCAATAATATTGAATTGTTTTTTAAAGTCTCTACACGTTTGTTTAAAGTATATTGACCATTAGCGTAAACAGTTTCATCTTTAGACCAAATCACAACATTATTCACTGTCAAAAGAGAATAAATTGAACACATATTAAAGTCTTTTAATAATGAATGTGCACAATAAGTATTTTAATTACCATGAAAATTTCTCACGTCACAGTTCAATATCACATCACTATTTGGATCAGCGGTTACGTGAACATTTGTCTGCTCAAAATACGGAGGATCGTGTCCCATTGATGTCATTGCTGACTTTGAATCATGGCTATCGTTATTATCATTTTCACTGTCATTATAATTTCCAGTGTAGTCATAGTCGATATAATCATAGTTTTCATCATCATCCTCTAAATTTTCACTTTCTAATGCCCGTTTGGCAACACATTGCGCTTAAAGTAGTCGAGGGATATGTATAGAGGTTAATATTTAACTGAAACTTGTTCAAAAATAAATACGTGTTGTTTACTTTATAACATACGAAGCACAATGAGAATTAATAGTGATTTAAAGAAAATGAATGTTAAATAATTTTAATGAATTTCCTTTCGTTAAAGCAGCATATCGCAACATATGTTCGTATTTTTTAGCTCAAAACCCTAGAATTATGATGATTAAATAATGGTATACAAATTAAATGTTTTATATGTATATACGGTTTTTTATGTTAAAGTAAAAATTATAACAATTTTCCAAAAGTTTATAATTCTTATTACTTAATTAAAATAAAGAGAACGAAAAAACGTACGACTTAAAGGTGAATAATTATGTTATGTTAGAAATTGTGCAAAAAAATATTATAAATTATGATAATAGGAACATTTATACTGTTACTATGTAATCAATCAACTTTATAAGTTATTTTAAGTCATACTTGTTGTATGAATCTGAGAAATATATACATAAATTATATTACAATATATTAATTAAAACTAAAATTTTTATTCCAGGTACAATAATATGTTACTTTTGGAGTTTTAGATAAAAGATCTAATTAACTATTCATTCATTACTACAAATAATTACTGCTTAATTGTCTTAATATACATACTATATGTATGTGATGATTCTATTATTGCATCCAGAGCTGTGAAAATAACGTGGAGAATTTTAGAGGGCTTTTCGAATCATTATTCAAGTAAGTTAATTATAAAATGTTTGCCAAAATTATTTTGAAATCTAAGACAACAAAAAATTTACATTTTTAATTCTGACCCTATAATCGTGGATCCTTAAATATATCGTAGTTGGTTTATAACGTTGTAACATTCTTGGGTAAAAACGTCAGATTTCTAACATACATACACACAGTGAATCCCCTAAGTTGTTTGCCTACCTTTTTTAAGAGAATTTTATTTTTGTTTATAAATAAAAAAAGTCATTTTGCCAGTCTTGTAGAAAATGAGGGATATGTATACATTCGAAAAATTTGAAAATTATTAAAATCCATGGTTTTGTATAATATTGAAATAACATTTTAAACATTAGCTGTGGCATGATATGAAATAGCTTGTACCCAACTTTTATTGAATATTTACAAAAAACTTTAGGAATGACCTTCGTTTTTTGCAGTGTATTATTACATCCTCTAGTATTTTCCTAAATAAATGGCATAATTTTGAAAATATTACGTAGTTTGACGTATGAACGCAACAACGTAAGTTCATATAAATGTATGTACATATGTATATCCACAAATAATGGATAAGCTTTCTGATAAGATAACATAACTTACAAACAAGCACGATGTTGGCAAGTAGTAGGTTTATTTTTCTGTCGAAAACACTATCGGCTAAATAACGTGTATTTCTATTTTCATTTTCGTTTTCAAATATGCGCAGATAAGTGAACAAACAATATTTAGAGGAGATAAAAAATGAGTGAGAGAGAATGAGAGAGTGAATTGATGATATAGAACAGACAAAAAATTATAGAATATTCTTATAAAATGTAATAATAATTAAATTTGTACTTTTGTATGTACGAATGTATGTGATGTTTCTTTTTTTATATTTATGTGGAAAATGTTCTAAATTGTATGGCGATTGATTGCAGTGTAAAAATATTCATGTTTGTTTTAGTTTTTGCATTATTATTTTTATTTTAAATAATTTTTTTCTTTCTTTAATTATGATACAAGAGCTAATTTTAACACTTACCTTTGCTAATTAATCCTAAAACTAGGCAAAATACTATAAACCAATTTTTAGTAGTTGTGCTCATTTTGAATCTATTATCATTTGTATATTATCTTTGGCTAAAACAGTTAAATACACATATGTACATAGACATATTAAATTTATATATTTATTTATCTATCTATTTATTATATAAATAGTAAATTTATGTTTTATATACTAATATCAAGGATTATTGTTATTTTACATAAATTAAATCCAACACTTTATTAAAATTAAATTGTTGTCGTTATTTTTTTTTTTGTTTTCAAATTAGTTATTTACATTTATTTTATATAGTAGTTGTAATGATAGTTGAGTGAATATTACACTAAATTTTGCTTGGTTTTAATGTGGGTTTGTTATTATTTTTTTATATTTTTGCATTTGCACTTTTTACAATTGTTCCGCAATTTTTCTTATTGTTTCTTAAAAACGTTTTAATTTAGAAATAAATATAATTTTTTGTCTGTGCTATCTGTTTGAGCGTACAAATGTTTATTTTACGAACGATGCAATGTAAGTTTCTCTATATTTTTATTTTTTTTATTTGTTTTTATTTATTTTTAATTTCATTTGTTACAACATTAAATAAATCGAGCGTAAGCATACTATCTCAATATAACAATTACTCACTTGTGCAGAGTGCACCAAAAAAAAAAAAAATACTTCTAGTTTGTCGCAATATCAAAATTCAACTAAAGTGTTATTGCGCCAATAAGACGATTTCGAGCAATTCCACCTTCTATTGTAGAACAAAATTCTATACTATAGTAAGATCACTCGTATTCTCGTGCTTTACAATATTGTTAATTATTTAACAACTAAACTAGTCAGCAACATGTTGCTAAACCCTCTATCTGCACAGTTATTCACATTTATCAGAAAGGTATGTACATTAGCGGGGCATCAATAATTCTAATAATTTTTTTAACCATTTTTACACAAAATAATATTAAGATTAACCACTTGACTAAAGTAGTTAAAAATCGTTTTAACCCCTTCCCTAAAAAATTGATACTAGTGCGCACTTGCGTTTCTATAACCTAGTCTAATCTGTAGTCTAGTCTATAGTCTATTCAATAGTATAGTATAGTCTAGTCTATCGTCTAGTCTATAGTCTAGTCTATAGCCTAGTCTATAGTCTAGTCTATAGCCTAGTCTATAGTCTAGTCTATAGTCTAGTCTATAGTCTAGTCTTTAGTCTAGTCTAATCTATAGTCTAGTCTAATCTATAGTCTAGTCTATAGTCTAGAATTTATTCTATAGTTTAGTCTATAGACTAATTATAGTATAGGCATTACATACAACCGTGTAACCGGGAAATAAAATTTAACTCAACTTTCAAAAGAAATGGAAGAACTGAAATATACCACCTTAAAACGGTACCGCCTTAATGTACATATTTTGTTTATAGAACTTATCGTTACGTTGTTCTCTAGCTAGAGGAATTTTTCGTTCGTGTTTGTATTTGATAAATATTTGGTATCACATACACATATTTCGCATTTAATATTTCGAATTTAAATGTATGACTTTTAACGTAAATATTAATCGTATATTATCGGGTGGCTAGCAGTTTGTTTGTTTGTCTGTATTAAACAAATTTTTTAAACTTATTGTTATATTTTAAAATATGTATTTATTACTTATTGTATTTAATTTAAAGGTGTTAAAAAATTTAACTTTCATACAGCAGGTGATCTGAAAACCAATAATAAAGAGAACCGTATTGTATTTAAGATCTATTCGGTTTTAAAATCAAATTTAAATATTCATATTTTTTGGAAACTTTTAAATTTTTTATGAAAAAGCTGTTGTCATAATCACATGATCCATATAAAAACAATTTTCCAAAGGTTACACTTACTCTAAATTTTATAGTTAATAAAGTTTCGAAATTAATAAAGTTAATTTGAAAAAAATACACATACTTTTTAAATACCCTATAAAATATACGAGTTTAATTGATAATCGTTCTTAATTGTATACTTTGATAATTTTAAATTATTATCTAATTAGCATTGAAATTGTTGATTAAAAATAATATAGTGCAGATATGTAGATACATAATTAAGAGGGTTGCTAATGTATGTACATTCGAATATTCGAATGATCGATTAAAATATTAAAAAAATCTTGAGAAAAATAAAAATATGATAGAAGGATTTGCCAAATTGTAATAAACTTCTTTTGCAAAAATTCTATATTATTCCCGTAAAGTTAAAAATACCTGCGGTATCAAGTTTATCAGACCGGGTGTCGTGGGTTCGATTCCCACCTGAGGCACTTGGATGGAGGCATCGGTGTATTTATTCAGATTTGATGCAACTAAAAATATCTTAATTTAAACATTAAAAAATATTCGATTAAAATTAAACTCGACTAATCGACAACAGCAATAAGCACATACATACATAGATACATTAATGGATGAGTATACAAAGTTTGTATAAAAATATTTAGTAAACATTGAAAAAAAAAATATATGAATGAAATATTTTTAATTAATGGGAACTACTTAAATAAGGAACCACTATAAGCTATTATTAGCATTTTAAAAATAATTTTATATCACTATTAAAATAAAGTGTTAACAAAATAATAAAAAATACAAAAAATAATGTACAAATTTTGTCTGAACTAAATTTTCTAGACATATTAACGAATTCTTTTTTATAAGAACGTTTCCCGAATCGAAAAATTTACAAACAATTACAAAATGTGAATAATAATTTTCTCACTAAATTTCAAATAATACATTAACCTTTAGCAATAAACAGTTCTTCAATATTTTCATTAAGGCAACTGTTGAGTTAAAAATTTGGATGTAATGTACTTTAAATTGTAGCCACCCTAGTCTAAAGCGCAAAAGACTTCAAAAGTTCTATAGATTTGCTTACAATATGAAGAAAATATGTATGTATGTACATATGTATGTATGTACATATGTATGTATAGGCAATTGAAACCGAAGAAATAATTATCCCTATTCTGAATTTCGAAACGAAATTTTCTCCCTTTGGCAACTTTCGTATTCTGCATATCGATTCGATACTCCGTCACTAAAATCAAGTTGGATGTCCAAACTACGCATTTTCGCGTTAAAACATTTCATTGTCATACCTCCACGCTTCTAGTTACATGCGACTAGACTATAGACTAAATTCATAACAATTTATCAAATAACAGATTTAGTATGGAAATTTGTCTTAAAAACTTTTG